TCAAAAAATGTTGATCTTAATTTACATCAGCCTCTCCTGCGTTGGTGACAACGATCGTCCGATCTCTTAACGAGGTGGGACGACAGTGCCCGCCTGGTGACGACGTCACAACTACCATGGCATTGTTCCTGATCACGTGCCTTGTCCAACACGAGAGATCAGCGAGGGGTCAGGGTGTTGTATACAGGGAGAGAGACACAGACTCTTGGCCTACAGGTATAACACGCTACTCCAATGCTGTCAGCCACACATTCACATTTTGCGGGACGTCGAGATGCGTGTGTTGGTGTACTTTATTTCACTTCTATGTGACGCAAATACTTGACTGAACAAAAACTGTCAATCTCGCGTCGGTAAGCTCCTCTGCCTCGCCGCAGATTCTCCCAGTTGAATGTAATTCTCCCGCACGTGACAATCGCCTCGCACGCCCTTGCTGGTGTGCTGGCCTCTTGAGTGTACGGTACTGGCGTATTGGTGAGAATAAATGGGCACCGCGGTGGTTCTTCAACATCACGTGGAGGCTCCCCTGTGCACCTGGTGGCTGACAGTGGGGCACGCTGCAACCCTCGAGTAGCAAGCGAGCTGAGCCCGGGGGCCCTCGAGCGAATTATTTGTACAATTTCATTTAAATAAAAACACCCCCGTGTCCTGGAGTGGATACACTGACATAACCTGCCTGTATACCAGACCAGGTAGTTAACATATCGCCACCGTGGCGAGAATTTTAACGACCTCGCCCGGTATACAGGAGGTCGTGGGTTCAATCCCGACCCTGACGCCTGCTGTATATTTGGATGTTTTTCATGAACTCCCTGTGGTCCTCCAGGTTTCCCCCCTACACGTTCAGAATCAACATGCGTTTAGAGTATTTGGCTGCAATACAGTCCCACATGTTAAGCCACTTAGTTGAGCCATCATTTGTGGCCAGGTCGCTTCTGAAAAAGAGCTATATAGCCCAGTAGACCTTACCTGGTAAAATTAAATGTATAGTTTCGTACATCACTATACTCAATTTGGACCACACACACACGGCAGCAACATCGCCTCCTGCTGGCAAATTTTTCCAGGAGGGGGCGATTTTGCCAGGACCCTGCTGAAGTTTTCCTCGGCAAAAAAAAGTGTCTGTGTGTAAATGAGAAATACACATATACACCCAATTACATCGCGATGAGATTAGTGGTTGGCGCACTGCGCCGTGAACACGGATAATTAAGCTCTCGGCTAACATCAGTGGCGAGCGATATCCGAGCCGGTGCCGACTGCCTCCCTTCGCCAACCCCACACGGACCTTTACCCGGCAGTGGACAGAGCACGGGCCGCGACATTGGGACACTGGGACATTGGACCACACACACACGGCAAGATTTGCTTTGACCCGGCAATCGATTTCCACCACGGGGTATCGATTCCGAGAATTGCAGAATTGAATACGGCACGTAGCAATTGGTCACGTTGTACTGAAACAATTGAGAGCTCGTAGCGATATGACATTGAGAGCTAGCATGGATACGTTGTATGTCAGGGACCCATGCGATAATTATCAATTACATTTTAACACTTAGGCTATCGCGACCAATATCATCCACTAGAGGTTTTTGGGTTAGAGCGTGTGAATATATAAATGTGTCGTTAAACTGGCCACCACCCGACACAGCCAACTAGTAAGGTTTGTCACGTAAACAGAACGTGCCAATTCATCACTAGTACAGCATCACCGGTGTGTTGGAGAGCCAAGCCACAACATTTACAATCTGAGTACGACGTTTCGCCAGTAATTACAACTAGCTTCATCAGGCGACAGCCAGATTTGTGGAGAAGTCTGTTTCGTTCCCTTTTAGAGGCGTAGATGTGTTGACCACGCAGCTGCGCTCTTGCACAATGATGAGGGGGGGGTCGGGATTACTGAGGCAACGTACATTATGCATGTGCATTATGCGAGCCCTTTGAACTTGTCCTTCCTGGCGATTGTGTTGATTAAAATATCCCTACCAACGGTAATCCCGATTGAAGTACGCTGCCAATTTTAGGCATGCATTTAAACTTTGTATTATTTGATGATTCGCTTCCACGCAGCACTAAGGCGGTAGCTATCCGTACGGTTAAAGTAATTTTTATTTCATTCAATTTCGATAGATTCTCTAATTAGTCTTGGCCAGTAGTAGCTAGTTTTGCACAAAACTTAAACATCTAAATCAATTGAGTGTTCTTGTTGGCACGCGTGTTCTGCTACTGCTAACGTTGAAGTTTTGTGCAAAACTAGCTACTAACCCAAAAAACTTTATTATGAATTATTATGACAGAAACATATATTTAACGCAATCTAACCCAAAAAAAACTTATATTATGAAAGTCTGTTAAAGGCTATACGGGACATCTTTGTCTTGTGTGTGTTCGCGTAACTCGCCCACGTCCAAATAAACCTGGCACCCCACCCACCACGAAGCACGCGCACTCGAAGGGCGGCAGACAAACGTGGCACCACCACCACCCATGAGAGCTCTCGCGCGTACTCGGCCACACGGAGCTCCTCCACCCACCGCCGCTGCTCGTGCAGAGGTCACGGACGGCGCGGTGCTCGCGTTGACCTTCTCGCGGAGGTCATGCACAGCTCGTACCATTGCGTATTTGGGTCACAAATATTCACTCGCTTCTCGTAGCATTCCATGCGTTTCTTAGTCGTCTATCTCCGACCTAATTCTCGCTTTAATCACATCGAGGACTAAACATCTCTTACCCATTGTGCTGATGTTTTCTATTGGCGGTCTCAATGCCTGAAAAAACTGAAGCAGTCTGCGACAAACACCGAGTGCCAGTGGAGAACCCGCCACGGCGCCAGACCACGGGATGCTGCGGCTGCGTGTCCCAGACTGTTGCTGCTGAAAGGCAGAAGAGTTGGGGGTTTATTTTAAAAAAAATGAACGATGGCGAGTGAAGATGATCGTTTTTTGCTCAGTGGGAGTTTGTTCCAGTGAAGGGGAGCAAGAAGGAAAAGGTGATGAAAGAGCGTGGGGGGCACAGAGAGAGACGGCAAAGACTGGGAGCGTAGAGGACGGAATGGGACAGAGGAGCGAGAGATGAGAGAAGCAAGATCGGGTGGGGCAACACCATGGAGGGATTTATAGACCCCTCAAATCCACTTGACCCCCAATGACCCCATACACCACACCCCTGGCCATGGTGTTGCCATGTGGGCGTTCGGTGCTGCGGCTTACGGGCAGGCTGCGTATAATTAACAACTCAATGTTGTGAGCACACGGAGGTAAATGTTTGTCACGCGACTGTGCAGGGATTGTGTAAAACGGACTCGGACCATTGATTGAAACCCAGATTTGAACCCAGGATAATCGCGGTTGTGATTTATTGACCACTCGGCAACATTTTTCTGCTGGTAAAACACTGTCAACATTGGTCCAACATTCGCCTGTACAGCATCAATAATGCTGAAATTTTATGTAATCCCATAGGGCCATGGGGCGATGGGATGTGTAAAAATGTTTAAAATTGTGGAGAGATATGTATATGAAATAGATATTTTGTGCTGAGCTATTGATACTTCTCATTGGTGAGCCCTTCTCTATCTGTAAGATAAGAGATGCATTCATTGATTCCTGTCAATCATCTGCCAGAATTTCATCCCATGTAATATTTTTTGGTTGAACGTCAACATTAAGAGGGGGCTGGCCTGGATGGGAAGGACCAAAAGGGCACAAATTTGCATACCCTCTCAATCAGAATTAACATCCACCGAGGTTACTTAATATACATACCAATACTCACCCACGAGCTGGCCAGCAAATATGAACACGACATCAGAATGTATGAAACCAACCCCATCTCTGAAGACACCATGTCAGCTGGGGAAGAGCTCAACTGATGGATTGGCAGAACAACAAAAGTAATGGCAGGAGCTGATCGAGAACACAAACATGACCCAGCATATCGCAAGAAAACGTGGTCCAAAATCAAAAGACTTGAGCAGCAACTTAAAAAGCAGAACACCACGAACGTCACCGCAAACCAGATGGCACTTACTCATTGTTTTTTTTTCTTCGGTAAAGTCACGTATGTAGAAATGCCATAAAATTATATTCAAATAAAATAAATAAATCACGGCGTTTCGACCACAACACAAGCGATCTGCATCAGGTGTAAAAAACAAATAACACATAGGGTGACATCAACGCAACACATACAGAGCGTTAAACTGCACGGAGGTAAATACAACAAGAAGATGAGAGACGAGAATTCAGCAAACCTAAGAAAAAATTATGTGATGCAAAACCAGTCGGCCAACGACACAGACACTTGCCTGGCGGACCACGAATTTCAGAAGAGTGCTAAATTTCGTGTTCATCCTCTGGGTTGAACATACCAGCATAGACAGAGTGAACAAATACGAGGTATAAGATAGCAGAAATACATATACAGGAACACAAGAGGTAAGAAGAGGAAAGACGGACAGAGAAGCAAGTAAAAAGGGGCCAGAGGGATGAACAGAGGCTTAAAATAAGCTGTAGAGGTGGGAGGAGGGGGAGGGGCCGAAGAACAGGAAACCTCAACGAAAAGAACAAGAGAGCAATGCCTTTGGTGACCAGTTCATGAACAATAACTTCAGTGACCAATTCACAATGGCCAAAATGGGGGGGGGGGGGGGAAGCCAAGGGTATGAAGACTGGCAAGGCAGCCTTCGTCTTGAGACTCGTGTTAAGGCAGCCTTGGGTTTGGCCTCTCCAGCCAACTCACCATGCTCAGCAGTCCAGCCAAGTTCAGCCAGCCAGCCAGAATCCGTATAGCTATGTTACCGAATTTATGCAGTATCACCCCACCCCCACTACCGAATGCCATGTGTAACAATTTCCTTAACACTTACCGTACAACACCGAAATCTTGCCCTCCATAAAGAAAATCACACCAAGGATGCACCACAACCATCGCCTTGTCAACATATTACCCACTCAGGACAAAACATACCGCGTAATAAGACACAATAATACAGAAAATTCCATAAACAATTTATTGCATTTAACTATAAAGGCTTGCAATTCTGCCCAAGCATACAATTAAAAGGGACATAATTACACATCACTTTGGAAGAACACATTTGTTTTTTGGATTTACGCCACCCTTCCAATCATTCAGAAACCCAGCGAGCTGTGTATAGAGAATAAAGCGAAAGCAGCAGAACCAAGCCATTTAAAATCAACCCTGCGAGCCCCGTCGTCACTCGCACACACTGACCACCCGAGTGAACCCTCCCATCAAACGTGCCAACTGCTGTACAATCCCCACCCTTGATTGAAAATAAACCTTGGGGTCATATGCCGCTTATTCCCCGTGGACCCATATGACCCGGAAGTGACCGTTCTTGTTGCATTGTTGCCCTAGACATGGTTGTTGTCACTGAAAGGAATAAGGAGGACAGGTGTTGAAAGGCAAACGTGTGGTTTTCACTTTCGTGCTGTATGGCTCTCTGATGCGTTTCCAGGTTTTTATCACGCATTGATTCGGTGCAATGTTCGACATTTCATTTTGTGTGCCAGAAGCTCGTTCCGGAATTGAATTAAAGCGGAATCTGCGAAGCACGTGGCGCGAAACGTCGGCCGAATCATGCAAAATGATGCGCGGTACAACCCAAAAACAATTTATGGGGGTGTATAAAGAGCTTGGATAGCGTGTGACCCATCGTCGGTCATATGGCAGTCAATGTGTTAAGGCCCCCATCAAACACACCTTTATCCACTCAACACCAATGCCACCTACCACACAAAGTTAACCACGACACTTTGTCCTCTTGTAGTCAAGTGAATGTCCACCGTGATGGTGGAGCAATTGAATCATCCCGTGTGCAGGAGTGAGAAGGATCCTTGCATTGCAAGGCCGCGGTGCGTGATGGCGATGGCTTTGTGGGAGATCTTCATCCAGCAGCGGATTGATCGTGGCTGATGATGCCACCAACAACGGCACCCGTCAGTCATGTGTGAAATTGACATGGGCCGCTCGCAACTCCCTCGCATTCGTGGAAAATAAAATTATCATTTACACCCCCCTATCCTGTATGACACCAAAAGGCACTTAAAAACTTGCGGCTGAAAGAACTGCATACGGACAAATAACAACTGACAGCGAACCCTCAAACGTCAACGCAACTGCATTCAGAAATCAGGACTACATAAACGGCAGGTTTGCACCCTGTGAATGTCGAAGACTTTGCTACAAAAATGTCTACGCGCATTGCCAACCTTCGGCCTCCCTTTCCATTGTTCAATGACCATCCTTAAAAACCGAGGCCTGTTATGATAACAAACAAAAAATAAAGCACGTACAGCAGGCAACCCGGTCCGTCTCTACACATTAATAAACCTAAACATTTCTTCAAAAAACTAACGAGACAAGTTTCAATTAAAACAATGCTACTATTTCATTACCCTCCACACCTGCCCAAAAGCGCCTCCAAACGCCGCCCCATCTACCCCACTCCTTTCCGGTAGCAAAAAAAAAATTAAACGAAACACACATTGCACGCTTTCTTTCTATGCTCCGGCAAAAACCCAGTCTAAAAACTCGCGTTGAACGCCCAACAAGCGAGGCCGACGCAATCAAAAGAGCAGGCCAAACCGCTTTCCAGTGAAAACGCAACGGAGACCCCCCAAACTTGCGTTGCTCCTCTCTCAAAAGGGTACAGACATGCGCTTCCCAACCACCTTCGCACGCCCCCCACGCCCCCCCACTACCCAGCCTCCGCCCGCCGGCGCTCACGAGTAGAACGTCAGCACACTCTGGTGATTTCCGCGGACGAGCAGTGTGGGCGGTAGGTTCTTCGACAGCACCTCCAGCCAGGCCATGTAGAGCGTGCTCGAGACCGCTCCCTTGCGCGCCACCGGCAAGCTCCTGCCATGCACACGCGCAAAGACAAAGATCCCCCGTAAAGCCTTAACAAGACTGTTGGGGCAAGTGCTGTTAGCGAGCACCGATGAAGGCCGGCACGGCACACGAGGGGGTGCGTGGCCAGCACCACGCCCGACCGCCTTTGTATCCCTAATGGAAATCTTTACACATCGCACCAGGTACTCATTTGAGGCTGTGTCGACCTAGGGAAGGCCCAGGACCGTTTCAGATAATCGTCACTGGTGTTGGCCGTGAGCGGGAATTGAACTCGGGTCGCAAGGTTCGGAGCATAGCTTTTTCTTACCGTGACATTATCGCTCCCCTACTCACTCACACACGCACGCACGCACGCTCGCATACGCGCACAACAACCCACAATGTCAAAAGGTACACCCGAGACGGAGAGACGATGCCCTGGGACTCGTTGGTGAATGGGCCCCAGCTCTCTCCCACCCCGTGGATGGATGGACAGATGCCCTTAGAGCTGTTTGGTGAAGGCCCCCCCAAGAGGATGCCTTGGGAATCGTCGGTGCCACCCCTCCCCGGCCACACCGGGCGTCCTTAGGTCTCGTCGTAGTCTTCGTCGTTGTTGTTGTTGGTGCCGAGCTTAGATTGCAAAATCCCGGGCTGCGTCTTGATTTTGCTTCCACTCCCCAACTGTATGTTTCCCTGGAGCTCATACGCCACCCTTCACCTTTGCCGCCCCCTGCCAAACCCTCTTCTATCCTCTCACGTATTTGTCTCTTCACTTTTGCAAAGCACCTCGAGCTGTGATTGCATGCAGATACTGCGCAAATAAAAATTGTTGTTTTATGTCAACGGGTGGGTGCTGCTACTACGATGTGCGAGCGCTCCGGAAGTGAATGACACCGACAACACGAGTGCAATGTAACTTCACGAGCCATTTTGTTGCGTAACACAATAGCACCATTAAAGTAAAAAAAAAACATCACTTACATGACAATGAGGTTCGCCCTGCGGGAGTGCTGCTGCAGCAACTCATTCATCCGGATCTGACGGTACGTCTACGACAAACCATGTGCACACACGCACACACAAACGCACACGCAAGCTGTCAGGTACAACACGGAGTGTACTACTTCTTTCGTAATCAGGGGTATGGAGGGAGGGGGTGACCTGCAATGGTTATGTCGATGTCGACGTTATTAAATCCAAGCTGTATATGATGGGGTAGGAAACCTCTGGCCTATGGATACTCCCTCAAAATGTATTTCTTAAGAGCCCGTGGCCACACGAGGCTTACTGCTTCAAAGTGGCCTGCAAACGAGATGTAGCCAATTACTGCCAGCACTTTAGCCTCACTAATTAATCGGTCACTCGCAGGGAATATTTTCAACCTGGTAACAGCGCGGCATTTCTCGTGTTCGGCAGCCTCAGTTCACACTTCCGTCACCGCGAGGGCCCTCTTCCAAAACCAGGTCTTCTCGCCGGTACCTTGTCGCGAAACCTCTCCAGCTCGTCATCGGAGATCTTGCAGGGGTTCTCCTGCCGCAGCTTCTCCGCCTCCTCGGCGTCCAGGTCCTCCTCGTGCAGGCGGTACGGCTCGATCATCTCCTCGAACGCCTTCACGCTGCCGCGGCACACACCACGGCGCCAAACGCCCCCCCCCCCGTGTCAAGCGGTCGCTTGATGCCCTCAACGCCGCTGCCCCTCACGGTCTCATAAAATCCACCCCCCCCACCCCCATCCTTACCGTGGGATACGTGTAACGTCATTAGCACGAATTGTATTAAAGTGGTGGCTGAAAGGGGGACTGAAAAAGCCGAGGTGTTAAACACAACAGATCCCTTGTAAAACGCCGTATAAAGACCATAGGGGCATAGCAGTGTTAAGCATGCATCTCTGAAGGCCTAAACTACACGGGAAGGGATAGGAATTGCGAGGCCAGTAGCAAGCCTGACCAGCTTTGTCTCCCCAGCGCTGATGTTGAAAACACACCCCCCATACCGGGTACCCGTTTACGGCCGAGCCTGAGGGGAGGCCAAGGATGCGTCGGCTGCACAAGGCCTCACCTATCCTTGTCCGGCTTTGTGTTCATATCTCCTAGCACCTCGATGTCCGAGAAGTCGATGCGGAACTTGCTCAGGAGCGTCGCCATCCTGGAAGTCAACAGCACCGTAACGTACGCCCGTTCACATGCAACAAAGACAAACATCTCCCCTATAATCATAGCAGACTGTTGGGGCAAGTGCTTAGCGAGTAGCACCTATGAAGGCCGGCACAAAACACGAAGGGGTGGGTGGCCAGCACCACGCCCGGTCGCTCCTCAGTGCTGAATGTTTTACACATTGCACCCGGTACTCATTTAATGCCAAGTCGACCTTGGGCAGGCCCGAGATCGGTTCAGATATTCGTTAACGATGTTGGCCAATCTTGATTTGAAGCTTTCATGACTGCAGGAATCCATACTCTTTGGTTCTTTCGGTAAAGTCACGTAGTTAGAAATAAAATAAAATCATGACGTTTCAATTGCAACGCAAGTGGTCGTCATCAGGCAAAAAAAGCACAAAAAAATTCCCAGTTATGTTGGCCATAACCGGGAATTGAACTCGGGTCGCCGGGTTTGTAGTGGAGTGCAAAAAACACACCCACACGGGTATCGCCCAATTGCCAACTCATCACCCCAATACTCCGATACCACCACTGGCTCCCAATCAATTTCATTATCAGGTACAGAGGCTTCAAAACTTCCCGTGGACTCGCCCCCTTCCTACCCCTCTCCGCTCATTTAAATCTACTCCCTTCCATGCCCGTTATCTCATTATTGACGAACTGATTAATTGTTAAGCACACCCCCCACCGCTCATAGTTGCCAATTTTTTCATTAATGAGTGCTGAATTATTGCAGCCATCTAAAATCCGGAGGTGGTCAAGGTCCTTCCCCATTGATGTTGCTCCCTTGCCTCTGATTTGTTTCCAAGTCAGAGTGGGAATGCTGCTGGCACGATCGAATCTTTGAAAAACATTTTTTTTTTTTTAACATCGAGTTCGCCTTTATTGACCTATTAACTATTCCCGGTTCGAATGGCCAACGGGTTTTGCCCCTGGGATGCGTCACGTGACAATCGCACGAGGGGCGCTGTTAGACCAAACGAACAAACCGAGTGGCCGAGTAGGGGACTCACACGCGCTTGTCATGATCGATGCGGTTGATTTTGCCGCCGATGAACACTCGGATCTTGCAGTCGCGCCACGTCTTCTTGGTCGTGAGCAGGTAGGGCACGAGCAGGGTGAGGCCTGCACGCGATAACGTGCCGCACAGAGCCGTGTCAACGTGCCGTGCCGGCACCGCCCGGATCTGGGGTTTCAGCACGTGGGTTCCAGCCCTCGGATGGCATTTTGCGGTTGTAATGCCCATTATCCGGCACCGCGTCTGACGTTTCCACTCCAGGCACGCAAATTCAGTTCCTCAAGAAGCTTCCGGCAGTTGGAGCTAAACGTCGGACAGTCACGTAAACCTCAGCCTGTGATCCGATTGGACGTTGCCATCCCAGTTGCGATCAAATTTGTAACGATTTTGGGTAGCGAGATTTTTACCGAGGGGTAATTCCATCACAACTATCGACGGTGTGGAGACGGTCGCCAACGGCGATGACTGGCGATGGTTGCCCTAAAAACTAAACTTTTATTTTACCAGGTAAGACCCACTGAGCTATGTAGCTCTTTTTGAGAAGCGACCTGGCCACAAATGATAGCTCAACGAAGTGGCTTAAAACATGTTGAAATGTATAACAGCCAAATACTCTAAATGCACGTTTCTACATCTTGACTTAAAGCTTTCGTGACTGCAGGAATTAATATTCTTTGGGTCTTTCGGTAAAGTCGCGTTGATAGGTTCAAAGGAAAATCACAAAAAACTACGACGTTTCGATCGCAACGCAAGCGTTCGTCATCCTGATGACGTTTGTCATCCTGATGACGTTCGTCATCCTGATGACGTTCGTCATCCTGATGACGTTCGTCATCCTGATGACGTTCGTCATCCTGATGACGTTCGTCATCCTGATGACGTTCGTCATCCTGATGATGAACGTCCCGACGTTTCCATCGCAACGCAAGCGTTCGTCATCCTGATGACGAACACTTGTGTTGCGATCGAAACGTCGTAGTTTTTTGTATTTTTTCTTTGAACCTATCTGCATGACTTTATCAAAAGACCCAAAGAATACGTTTCTACATGTGGAGAAAAAACCGGAGGACCCAGAGACAAATCGACATGACCATGGGGAGAACTCAAAACTCCAAATATACCAGACGAGGTTAGTTAACATATCGCCACCGCGGCGCCCCATCGCCGGCGCACAGACCACCTCACCTCCGTCGTCAAACAGCCACCACACGTCGATGGTCCCCTTGCCCTGGCGGCTGTTGAATTGCGCGCTGGCGTCCAGCAGCTTCTGGTCGAAGTTGGTCAGCGGGAGGGTGTGCAGCTTGCTGCGGCGCTCTGTGCGCGGTGGCGCGAAACAAAGACAGAGATCGTCCCGTGCAGCCATTAACAAGACTGTTGGTGTTGCTTAGTCAGCACCCTATCAAAGGCCGGCACGGCATGCGATACGTGCACCGCACCTTTTGCCAGCTTAAGAATCGAGATTAATGAATAACAGTGATTGCCGCCGTCAACGTCGATTGAGTGTTTGTGGAGCACAGGTTTAAGAAAAGGTTGGTCAGGAGAGGACAAAAGCACCGCTTCAAGGCCCTTAAACACCAAGTGTAGAGACCACAAGACAATTCAACGGAGAGGTTCCATCGAAAAACGAAATACTTTTCAAACGCAAACCTTCACACTCGGGGAAAAAAAAAAATTGCCAGTGCTTTCCGCTTGGACGAGCCTTTCCAAAGCATCCGAGGTTTATTCGACGCTGAGAATCAATTGGTGAGCACGGCAGGGGGGGGATGGATTTCCACGAGTCAGCGAGAGGAGTGCGGTTTGAAAAGCGCCGGTACGGGGCGAGAAACGCCGGCAAGCAACGAGGCACCAGCAACATGCTTCGGAGCTGGAGAGGAGAAGAAAATACAGCAGTTAGAGCACAAGAATCCAGGGAGGGAGAAATGAAAGCAATAAAAAAATATTAACCATATATTCTGTACTGCCACTTAAAATTGTTTATTTTAGTCTATTGACCAATCAGCTCCTCTGAACTTGTGTTGAGCAGCAGCATTTTATTGAAGCCCCTGTGCTTGGCGATACAGCACAAGGGCAATGTCGCAGTAACGTCACTCGAGTGTTCCTGACCCTAAACTGAAATGCTTTTTTCCCATCGTAAAAGCATCAAACTCTTGCGCTTTCCCAGGGCACCCAGCCTGCAACGCAGCTGAAATACCGCACGACAACAGGAACTATTTATTTTATGACTTGCGTCTTCCTTTTAAAGAAGAGAATGCAGCGCATTGGGAGAGAGAATTGAGGAAATCTGAAAGGTTCAGAAGGCGGGCGACAGATCGAAGGCCACAAGCACAGGGGCCGAGAGTCCAAGGTCTTGCCAGCATGGTGCTCGGGCCTGCCTTTATGCAGCAGAGGCTTTGTCTGCTGCCCTTTGCCTTCCTCCTCCTCCGCTCCAGGGGTGCCGCTGCCAGTGACTGTTCGACCATTAAACGGTGTGCGAGTACACACGCACACACGCGCACACACACACACACAACCAAATACATCAACAACTTTCTCCGGCCAACGCCGCACAAGTCTCACCGACAACCGTGGTGGGCAACCTTTTCCTTACGGGGGATGGAATAAAATAACAAATTCCAGCCACTCTCAACCCACTGCTGGAGGAAGGCCTCCTTACATCACCATACTTAACTTTTTGACCATACTTCACCACGCTGGTGTGTATGGGTCGGTGAAGGGGGGGGGGGAGGGGGAAGTGTTGGGGGGGGCGGAAGGACAGGATCAGTGTTGATATTACTCGCCATGGCCAGGAATTTAACACGGGTCGCTGTGGGTTCATAGCCAAGTGCCCCAGCCACTCATTTTAAAATCGGTTCATCGTTTATCTCCTTAACGGTGGAGAGAAACCGACCACCAATTTAATGATCGCAGCAGGCCAGCTTCCCGCACCTTGCAAGTTCTTTGAAAAGGCCAATTAATTCGGATTAACGCTACGAGATCACTTCCATCACCCGCGTCAACCTCTTATCAAAAACGTCCGTAAACTCTCCCACCGCGCCAGTGTGCGTCTCGGACTGAGCCTGCGATCAGTGGGAAACGGGACCCACAGCAGAAGCCGACTCCTCATCCGTGGAACAACGCTCTTCCCCAGAACATTCGCAAATCTGAATAGGTCGAGTCTTTTCGGTGACGTCTTGAAACGTATCGGTTTACACTTGCACAGCCAGTCTGCGCATGTGTTTGGATTATAGTGTGCTGATCTTTAAAGGTGTATTGAAAAATGTTGATACTGCTACTGATACTCCTGCTGTAATGGAGTGACTCATGCAGCCAGCTATGGCTGCAAAGTTTGGTCGTACATGTTATGTATATCGTTTATTGTTAAATTTGAATCACAGTTCCTATGATCACTGTTTTTATAGCTTTATTTTGGTGATGTTGAAAAGTTTTGGTTTAGCCATGTTTGTTTGTGGTAGTACAAAGTTAGCCTGATAACTTTAATGTAAATTGTCTTGTGGTTGTTATTGTTTGACTTGCATCCCACTGGGATTTTTTGCACACAGCGTTGAAATGCGGTGCTTTTTCTGGAAGACTTTGCTGTTTTTTCCTGGATTTTTCTGTTGCATGTAGTCACTTTAAGATGTTTCTTGTTCATGTTTTTGTTTGTTGCGGTTGCACCCGAGTCAAGAGCCACATGGCTCACAGGGTTATACCTAATAAATTGAATTGAAATGTGCCTTTTACATTGTTTTGATTACTTTCAGTTTTATTCAGTTGCATCTGTTAAGGGTTTTATTCAGTTTTATTTGTTCGGGGTTTGTTCAGGGTCATTTTATTTCATGTACAGCTCTACGAGACCTTGTGAGGCTGGCGCTGTATACCACCGAGCTTTCAAGGGTTAGTTTCTTCTGCCCATCGTCCAAACCAAGTGCTGGGAGCTCAGTACGAGCCAACGACGGTTACCTCTGCACCCTCGTACCTTTCCCCATCTGGCCGTCAGCTACGCCACAGGGCTCCCCCCCCCACCCCCCTCCCATGACGCTGGCCGTCTACCACTTCAGGTCGGGGAGCAATTCCTCAAAGCGTGACATCTAGCAGAGGAACAAACGCGAGTCCTTCGCGACGCGGAGGTAAGCTGGGCCTCATGAAGTCACGTGCGTTCTAGCGTTAACAATGCCTTAAGCTGCTTTCCCGTGAGCGTGTTTGATGGAAGAATTCGTCAAATTAAACTCGATAAACGTCAAGACGGCTTGCGCCCAAACGAGGGCTCTGCGGCCTCCGGTTTTTCCCTCCACATTTAGAATCAACGTGGGTTTAGAGTATTTGGCTGCTAACCATAGATTTCTACGTGAAAAGCCACTTCATTGAACTATTATTTACGGCCAGGTCGCTTCTAAAAAATAGGTATATAGTAGCTAAGTGGCCCTTACCTGGTAAAATAAAAAAAACAAAATGGAGGGAGTCGGCTTGGAACTCTCGATCGGGGCGAAGAACAGCATCGGGCTTCCGCCGACAAAGTGTCACCATGCGACTGGCTCCACAGAGAGCGCTACGCACGAGCTACTCCACGGGTGAGGACCCCTTGACACAAAGCACGTGCACATATGGCCCTTTTGTCAACCTGCTGCTGCATGAAGAGGGCTCGCCACACCCTGTGCGGGTCCGTAAGGGTTTTGTTAACGGCACCCGCGTCCTGTTAACGCGTGCGCTGCGTCCCTCGCATACTCACCGGTGTGTGCCAGGGGAATCCCGGTGCGGGCACGGGAGTTTGTGACTCGCCGGAGGCACCGGACCGGGCTCCGGGCTTGGCCACGGTGTCTCCCCGGTGCGCTCGCGACGTTTCTCACTCACCGATGCGCAGTGGGGTTCCCGGTTCGGTGGCCTCCTGGGGGCTGCTGGACTCGGATTTGTCACCCACCACCACGTCAGTGAGGCCTCCCTTCTCCGTCTCCATGTCCTTCTCCTCCTCGCGCTCTTTCTCCAGCAGGCGGAGCTCCTCTGTGTCACATGCACGCACGCAGGCACGCACGCAGGCACACACACAAACGCCAAGAAAATGCACCGTTGTTGCCATTGCCACCACTGTTAAGAGTCGCGACGCAAACAACTGCGGTGATCAGACACGTGACTGGGCTGCCTCCGAGCCAGAGCTCATTTAGCTGTGAATTTTATTTTAGTTGTTAGTCTTAGTCCGTTCGACATTAAGTCCACCATTAGATTATTAAATGTTGGTGTCAGGGGTGCCCAATTTCCCTACAACCCCACCCTCCAATATAATTTAGTTACGTTCATATAGAATATTAAACATTTTGAACGTGGTCGGGTGTGACTTTAAAATCAACGGAGGTGTAAAATGACGATGGTGTCACCTGTACCAACGCAGACTCATGCAGATTCATCACCGAACATCTCCATGCACCCTTTACGCACTTGATCTGGTTTTAAGATGACGACCGCGTGACCCCACAGAGCCCACGTGCAGCGCACACGTCGCTTGTGCGGCAATGACATCTCCAGAGCCTCGGTCTTCAACGGCGTTGCTCTGCGATTCAGAGCCACGCGCTACTTTATATCTGTAGCGCTGCAGCCCACCACGTTGAAACAGAGTGGCGGTGTTTCAGGGGACAACAACCGAACAAAATCTACACCCCCTCAATGTCCTCCTCCGAGATTGCTGCCAGGTAGCTCAGAGGTCGGAGCGTCGAGTCGGCACCACTGAGGTCCTGGGTTCGATCCCAGGCAGACGCCTCCGATTAATTAGATTTTTCAAGTGTGGCGAGCTGACGTTCTCAGTCCCGTCACAAAATAACCGCACATAAAACAACATCCAAGCGTCATCATCATCATATTAAATTTGGTATTACATTAAATTTGGGCAAAATTTGTACTGTGTGGTCAAGAGGTCACTTGCAACTATGGATGTAGTTCTACGATATCCACTTCCACGGGCTGTTCTTCTCACCGCAGAGCGTCTTGCTGCTCTGCGAGGGATGTGCGAACGTGTGCTTCTCATCGTCGCATGACGTCGTTTGCGCGATCGGGATTCAATTCCGGGGGCGGGAGGTGGGCGGAAATCTAAAAAAAAACACGAAACCGGCGTGGTGACAGGAAGCGTTTCTCACCCTGGATCTGCACGATGTGCGACACGTCGAGGCCCTCGTGCAGGCGGAACACCAGCACGCCGTACTGGAAGTCAAACGCGTCGCTGGGGGCGGGAGGGTAGGGGGGGATGCGACGACAGTTTAAGAATTGCACCGCCGCGTACGATTTCTTGTGCGATCGTTGTCTTATTCCTCTCCCGATGCGTTTTCGGTTTACACCACGCGTGAGTAGTCCCGGCATGGTCACACAGCCCCCCCTCCCCACCACGCAAGGCCCTACATGGCATGGGGTAGGCCTTCATTCAGCAGCGGATCGGTGTGGTCTGTTATTTAGTCAATTGTTATGAATTAGAAAATAATTATCATCTGCTTCCTCACTTGAAAAGAAACCTCCATTTGACCAACCCGAACCAGAAACGTTCGCTCTGCTTAAACCACGTTTCCAACGCAGCTCCTGCGGCAGTAGCGCGTGCGGGTGAGCGGAACCTCCCGCCTGGCTGCCTCACCAGAAACCAACTCGGCCCTCGCGGCCACAGCCAATGCCGGGGGGCGGCGGTGAACGGCAATGCCAAAGACTCGCCGCTAGGTGGCGGCTCATCCTGTGAATCTTTACGTTCGGTCACAAATATCCATCAAGATTACTCCACGAGTGATGGGGAAGGGTGGGTCAGGTTGGGTTTGTGTGCGTATGTTTGCCGTGTGTGTGTGTGAGCACGTGACGGGGTGAGGGTGGGGGTGTCGCGGGGGTGATGAATTATGCTGCCCTCTTAACGAGCCACAAGACCCGAGTTTGAACTCGAACTGCCATCCTCCATCCCCCGTCAGAGCGTTTCGAAAAAAAAATTCCCCCCACCCCCTGTCATCTCGCATTGGCCCACCACATTCTCTCGGCTAAAATTTGCTTCGCGAACTCGGGCCGAATTCCCCACGTCCGAATTTTGACCGAGGGGAAAATCATCACCCCAATGTGTCACAATCGTAACCTGGTCAGCTCGTGCGATAATTCAATTAGTGCCCCAAATCAAACTACTTTTCTTGAGCCCAGCGCGATTCGTCCTCGAACGCAGGCCGACTCAAACGCAAGCAGACTCGAAGTCTGGCCAACGTGGGCCGTAACCTGAGCTCAGGCCAGCCCAAGTCATTCCAAGTGATCCGTCCCACGGAAAACGAAACGTCCGAGTCCGAAATGCCAGTGACGTGGCTGCGGACCAACACGCTCTACGACTGCGAGTCTCCTCCTGGTGGCCCCGCGGATCTCTGGCTTCCGGCACCGCCGCGGTGCCCCTGGCACGGGAGGTGCGGCCGCCGCATCACTCACTGGATGATGTTGATGTACTCGTCCACATCCTTGGATTCGGCTCGCCGCCAGTTCTTCTTGAAGCCGATCACCAGCGTGTTGGGCTTCATGCGGCCCAGCCCTGCCGCCTGGAAACACACCACACACACTTTTTACTCCTGCTTCCAGGTCATTTTAAAACGTAACGTTTCATCGCAAACTATCCCCGACCGTGCTATCGACGTCCTGATGCGAGACGGAGAATCCCGTTCGGAAATCTCACAGAGCAGTACCCTAGGAAATTCCCAAGAATTTATTTCAGCCGGGCCATGCAGTGTGACATTCAGCCGGGCCATGCAGTGTGATATTTCATTCATGACCACCTTGGCCTCATGATAAGTGCAGCATCAGGAGATAACCCACAGTATATAAGGGCGGAGGTGAAAACGCTCAAAGCTCCGCTGACAGATTCAGTCGGTGGTTCAATCTGGCAGGCGCACCCAGATTAGTCTGCGAACCACACCCATTGCCACACGCCCGTTTCTCGGCTGCTTGCGACCTCGAAGCCAACAACACCCTGGGCAAGGCAACCAATCCACGCACGCGCCAGCCTCGAACCCTGCTAAGCTTCGGAGCTGCGACGAGATTGGCCGCGTACACGGAGCTATGCGCTCGCGAGATCCGTGGGCAGCTGAGCCAAAGCGAATCCCTGCGTGAAAAGCTGGACTCGCGAAACGGGCAAACGGCTGATCCACGGCAGACAGCCACAATTCATGTGCAAATGACCGTGCCTATCGCACGCGAGTTATGCCGCGCACACGTTTCTCCCCTGGCGCGATGAGGACACGACGCCATTCCCAACACGGTTGCCATCAAGAAAAGATCCGAATTCATTTGTCTCGCCCGTCGCTCTGGCAATGGCGGTCGAGCGATCAGCGAGGAGCGTCGGGCCTGTGCTCGGGCGCTCGCAGAACTCCTCCGTGGTTCAGTTTGGTCCCATTTGTTCCGCGTCGAGGGGGCCGCGTTTCTGTTCGAGCCACGCATGCGGTAACGACCGACGCGAACTCACCGAGGTGGCTCGGAGGCCGGAGCTGCACAGGAGCCAGCACCGTTGAGATTCCCAGAGTTGGAATCCGGGTTTCAGCTACCACCCCCCACCTAACGTGGTTAAACCGGATTCTCACCGCCTAACGAGGTGACTACCGTGTAAAGTTTTACTCTAAAACTTAATTAAACTTATTCCAGCTCCAAGTCTTTACAGATTCCAGTTTTATTCCCATGCGACAGATACTGTTCTGCAGTGCGTAGGAGAGGTGCCGCTTGTGTTGATACAGATGCCTTCTCATGTATGTATGTTGAACTTCTTTCGCACCGTATGTAGCCAACCGTGCTAATCGGAGGTACGGGTAAATGCAAAAACAAGTAATAAAAGTGCATAGCTCCAGTGGCTTCCTAATATCAAAGGAAGAGCGTTCCAGACGGCCGAGGAAATGGCTGTCAAGTGACCTCAGGAGGCGATCTGGGACACCTTCTCTCCAGAATCCAGGTTGTGCGCTGCTCACTGCGCGAGTTGGCAGTGTCTGCGTCTCACGATGGCACGATGCCAACAGCACAAATGGAATACAACTGGGGAGGGCGGAGCAAATCAAACGCAGCATGGGAGGGCGGCCCGGGGTGGGGGGGGGGAATGGTAGCGGTGGCAGGGGAGGCGGTGCCAGCGTTAGCGATGGCGCCGATGGTGCTGGCGGTGGTGGCTGCAGTAGGGGCGGTGGTGGCAGTTGTGCGAGCAGTAGCAGCGGTAGCGGCAGTAGAGGTGGAAGCAGCAGTGGCGGTGCAGCAGTGATGGCGGTCACAGTGGTGGCGGTAGCGCTGGGAGCGTTAGTGACGGTCGCTGTAGCAGTGGTAGCGGCGGCGGCAGTAGCGGCCGCAGCGATAGCGGCGGCGGCAGTAGCGGTAGCGGCGGCGAGGGTGGCGGCAGGGGAGCCGGCACGTGCCTGCAGGAAGTGGAGCGTGCCGCCTCGCAGGTCGTCGGCGCACACGGCCGAGTAGAACGCCTTGCGGCGCTGGCGCAGCAGGTACTGGTGCTGCTTGGAGGCGTTGGCCGTCAGCTCCTTGAGCGCCTGCCTCCGCGGGCCCTGCGCACGCGCGGGGGACAGATGCGCAACGGTCGCCACTCGCCCCTCTGTCGTTTGCGATCCATCGACAAGCAAGAGCGATAGACGCGAACCCCCCCACCCCCCACGAACAGGGCGGTTCACATCATGGCCAAACGAAGGGTGGTGTCTTGGACACAAACTCGATAACCCATGCACGTGTGTGTGTGTATATAAAAGATTTATATTTGAAGATGACAACCCCGTGGTAGCTTGACACTCGTGCGTATCGCATTTCAACCGTCAACGGCAGCTTCTCGCTCTGCTCGTTTCGGCGGTCTGCAAGTCGCTCTCTCGGGCACCGCCAGGGGGAACTCACCACGCAAACATGGCTGCACACCATGAGGCCCACGTTCTTGGTGAAGGCGTGAACGAAGTCCACAAGCGCCGGGCGAGACTCCGGGGGGCCCGTCAGCACCAGGCACTGCGGCCTACGCACGCACACACAAAGATAAAAGACAAAGATCCCCGTGTAGCCTTAACAGACTGCAGGGGCAAGTGCTGCTAGCGAGCACCCATAAAAGCCGGCATGGCACACGAGGGGGTGGATGGCCAACACCACGCACGGCCGCCTTTGTCTCCCTAGTGGCGATGTTTACACATCGCACCAGGTACTCATGTAAGGCGGAGTCGACCTAGGAGAGGCCCAGGACCGGTTCATATAATCGTCACCGGTGGTGTTGGCCATGAGCGGGAATCGAACCCGGGTTTCCAGGCTCGTAGCGCAGTGCGCTAACCGCTACACTACCGCTTCCCGCGACACACACACAAAGATAAAAGGCAAAGATCGCCCGTATAGCCTTAACAAACACGCACACACACAAACAGTTACAACGAGCCCGCGTGTAAGTATTGTAGACTGTTGGCGAGCACCGATTAGGCCCGGCACGGTGCATGAGCACGTTGGTGTGGCCACCGTCGTCTCCCCAGTGCTGATATTTTCACACTGCAGCGGGCACTCACTTAAGGTTGAGTAGACCTAGAGGAGGGCCCAGCACCGGTTCAAATATTTCCCGCCGGTATAGACCGTGAGCGGGAATCAAACTCGGGTCGTCGGGTTCGCACCGCAGTGCGCCAACCAATACAACCACTCCCCCCCCCCCCCCCCCCACACCATACACATAGGAGTGCACGCATGAACAATGACATAGGCACACACGCACGGACGGACGAACATCAATGCACGCACAGACGCCGGTACGACCATTGTTGCTCAAACCGACCCTTCTGGGGCGACTCATTGTTAGCGAGTGCCTATTGCCACGCCCGACTCCCTCGGCCTCGCCGCCGCCGTGGCACCGCGCAGCCTCGCTGGCGGTACGAGCGGACGTGCCACAGCGCAGCACCGCCGCGTGATGTAATCCCGGCCGCCACTCCTCACGACGCACACAACACCAGCGGGGGTCCGCTCGCTCCCGTAGGACCCGCGGGGCAATTCATTCTCCGCGACCGATGGCGTTGAACGTCGCCTCGACTAAAAATACGGCGCCTAACGCCTCGGCCGTACGCGAGGGCACGGCGGGCTTTTGTGCAACGCGAGACAAAGCGCCGCGAGCGGCACAGAGGAAGACCCGTGTTCATTGTGAGGGCCCGGTCTTCGCCTGCCATTGTCACGGCGGCCGGTTGTCCGCGGACGATGTGGGGTGGGGTGGGGTGGGGTGTGAGGGGGGTGACGAGGGTGCGGCCTCGACCCAGAGAGGAATGCAACAATGGCGAAACCGCCGCGTTGGGTTAAAGCGGCAGGGGAAGCACCTATCTACGTGACTTTACCCGAAGACCCAAGAATCGGGGAAGAATCGTTTCCTCACTGCGGGGGGGGGGGGGGGCAGATCTGAATTTAAAATATCATTGGCAGGCAACAGCAACAACCACCGTTGACCACTAAGTGGTGGTGATGTCACGACGGCGCTTGTGCCATGCTAGGTGCACTTTGAGGCCATGTAAAGTGTGGAAGGCCCGCTGGCAGGAAGTCATGGAACAGGCCGAGGTGCCATGGGTTGACTGAGATGACTGACAGATGCACCAACTGTGTACTCCCCACTGTGCCAACTCGGTGTTTTAGCCGCCCGGCGCACCGCCCGTTGTTGCGAGTGTCGCTCCTCTGCCCAGTAGCGTCCTTCACGAGCTTCGTCACGTTGACGCACACTGGCAAGAGGCCCTTGCCAGTAACAGAAGTGAGCGAGTGCACCGATATCATTATCAGCGTTGTTCTCACGTCGGTGATCCCCCCGCCCCCCTCTAGTACCCGATTAGCGTGGCTACGATGCTCGCAGCGATGGATGAATATAATTTTCAGGCCGCTTAGAAGTGGCAGGCCTCATACGTGGCTGCGCATCGAATGAAAATAATTCTCGGGCCATAGATTAGGCGATCTCCTATACCAATGGCCAATGAAGAAGCGGCCACAGTGCGACTGCGATCACCAATCTTATTGCCGCTGTGCGCCCCGATCACTTGCCGGCAACGTTTCTGGCATTCACCTGGCCCATCGGCTCGCTCGCCAACCCTCCACATGAGCGAATAACGATTAACCGCCCTGCCATGCAAAGCACGATGACGTACGGCTAAGACGCTTGCCGCGACGGATGCAGATCACTTGCGGGGCCGTTTAGAACTGATAGGCCTCATGCGGCCACGGGGCCGCAAGCGATGAAACGAGCTGACGCGGGCCGTAGCTTCTGCACCATTAATACTGCCACGTAGGTTTTCCCGGTCGTGCTGCGTGGCTCTCCCCAGTGCGTTTTCGGGTTGTGCCGCGCGTTGTCCGGTTCCACGGCCGACGTTTCGGTTCGCCACGCCAGCCATTCTGGCGACCCCCCGGGTCGCGCTCTCGCAAGCGAGGCCACCGCACCCCCAGGTTAAAACAAAAAACGCGAACTCGTGGCCGAACGATACGCGGTACCAACCGGCAAACCCGCCAGGAGGAGCGGTGCCCCAGCCCCTGAATTAAAGCCACCGAGCGCCTCGTCAACGCGAAGACTCTGCCCGTCGTCACGCCCCAGGGGGGCGCCGCGAATGCTGCGGGCGGAGCCTTCGCCGCTCGCGCGGAACTGAGGCCGCGGTGACGGCAGTGCTGAGCGGCACGTGGGGGGGGTGGGGGGTATGGGGGGGAAGCCGCGCGTCCGAGCGGCGTTCGCACATTTCTGAAATGTTTTTGAAACGACCCGAAGGCGTCCCGTGGGCGAGCGCGAGCGTGTCGCTGCGCTTGGACGAGCAGTGTGCCGACGCAGCGAAATGTGAGCGGGACCTGCACACTCAGGGCGGATGGTGATGTTTGTTGCGATAAAGGGGCCACCCCCCCCACCACCACAACCCCCCCCCCCCAACCCCCGTAAATTTCGTACCGGAAGTTTTTGACGTGGTCCTCCACGCCGTACAGACGGATCGAGTTCTGCAGCGCGTTGAGATAAGTCAGCGCCTGGGTGGACGAGCCCCAGTTCACATCTGCGGCACGAACACACGGCACAAATACAAACACGCAAAATTCCAGTGAGCGTCTCTCCACGAGCCTCATGATTCACCCCCTCTTGGCCTCAAGGTGCTGTTTATCATCATCAACAGCAGCCATGCTTTATCCACGGCGGCTTAAAGACCTCCTCCCCAAAGCGCCATTCCTCTCATTCAAGTGGTGCAACAAACCGATGGGCTCCTCTGATTCCATCGCGCCGTTTGCACGGTGGACATATTCTCGTTCGTGCGTTCTCTCCTTTAGCTGCCAATCCGTTGTCAGTCTCAAACCGCCGACCATCATCCCTTTGAGTGACGCGTCCCGTCCAACCTTACTGACTTTTCGTACGGGCAAATTTTACGTCTCCAACTTACGATAGCAAAAAAGTTAGGATTTGATTTTAAAATGAGTTTATGTTAATTTATAAGTCAAGGCTTCGAAACTTCACCGCGCACGAGTGAGGCACTATATAAAAAAACGCAATTACAGCAGGTAATGATTTTAGAATGCGGCGAATGATAGCGCCTCTAGTGGCTACAGCAATAACACAAGCCCATTAGGTGCGACATAGACCCACGGCTCTAAACGCTCCGATTCCCACACATGGTTAGACACGTGTGCACAGCAGCTTTGCGAATTAACTTTAAATCAAATCAATCGATGCATCATCACTCCACCAATAAACAGACAAAAGTTCACGCCACATTAACAAGCGGCTTTAAAAAATAATCCTCCCTGCCCCCACCCCCAAGAGCTGCAGGGAAGTTCATCACCATGCACCACTGCCAATAAAATAAAACATCTGCCAATAAATTCACCAGGTTCAACAAAGTCTGAGTCTGCTGAAAATTATATACTCCCAGAAGGCCCTGTATGGCTGATGCGAATTTGGGTCAGCTATGAGGTAGGAGAAAGGAGGTGAATTTCCAGTAAACATGCAACGTTGGCACGTGGTACGAACCGTTGGCCCAACGTTCGCCCAACGTTCGCCCAACGTTCCATGTTTACTCAGGACCGGTCAGAGCGGCGAATTTGAAACCCGGTTATCTTTCAGCCGTTGTGCCGGCTCAGAGGCGGCTGCACAACCTTCCCCCCGCAATGACGCGGTGCTGGTCCCCAGGGTCACCCTCGCTACAAATGACGTTCCACATCCTGGCAAGGGACGCCGCGTTCTCATTGTGTCTGTTGGTCGCATTGTTTTTGCTTTTATTTGTTTAACCTTTTTTTGCCAAACGCCCCCCCCCCCCCCCCCCAGAGGATCACAGCGGATGGTGGTATGGGGAGCGCCTTCATCCAACCAGTGGACAGAACATTCCCGTAATCGTGAAACGTTGGGGGCAAACGTCGGTCCAACGGTTCCAACCACATGCCAACAACAACGTTGGCATGCTCACCGGGAATCCGGCAATGATGACGATCACGACGCCTCCGTTACAATCGAGCCATCGGCGCCGCGTGACGGCACGGAGAGATTTCCCAGTCGAAACCCTCGCAGCGAGCAGTGCATCACCCTGCATCAGAGAATGCTCCCTCCCCCCCCCCCAGCCCCACCCCACCACCCCACTCCGACCCCAGAACATGATGACGTTGGGCACATTCTGTATCCATAACAGAGGTATTTGTGTTAGATCGCGTAAATACAAATGTGTCGTTAAAACCCAACCTGCCTCATTGGGCGCCTGGTGAGGCTAGCTGTAATTATCGGCGAAACGTAGTACTCAAATTGTGAATGTTGTAGTGGGTTTACTCTCCAACACATTGGTGTGCTACACTGGTAATGAATTGGCACGTTTTGTTTACGTGACAAACCTTACTAATTGGCTGTGTCGGGTGGTGGCAGGTTGAACGACTCATTTATATATTTACGTGATTTTACCCAAAAATCGTTATAATGGATAACATTGGTCGGCCAAAGCCTCCGTGTTAAACATTCTCTTTACCTGCACGAGGGGTACTCGGCTTTCAATATGGCCCCAAAAACAAAGTTCAACGGAACCGACAGTTGCAACAAATAATTTGGTGATGCCGCTGCTGTGGTGGGCAATGGTGCACGAACACAAACCTCACATTCATAAAAAAAAACCCAGTGGCCTTAGAAATTAAAACATATATATAAATAAACACTTCCCTACCTCTCAGCATGGCCTCTCCATGTGCGGTGAAGGGCCGTTGTCCGAAACGTCACCTATAACATACTTGTTTTTTTAAGCCTACAATGTCACTGGGTGGATGTGTTGAGTTTTTTTTACGTCTGTAAGCCTGAAAAACAACTTGAACGTTGAGGTTGTTATTGTTGTGTCCGGCCATTGGGGTTCTTGGGCTGAGACCATTAACTGCACTACAATTGTGCCAGACCATACATTCAGAATATTTTCATTAATCTGCGGCACCACCCCACCTTCACTGACGTGAAGTACGGTTGAACCACCCCCGCGACCCACACACTACGTGGGGAGGTTTGCATCCAGCAGCGGACTGACCAAGGGCTGCATACGTACATGCAAGCATATACGCAGTACTTGAGCTGTCTACAAATGCACGCCACTGACAGCGATTTTCATGGAAATGCTCCCCTACGCGATGGCCATGTGCATGCGCCGCGGTGGAACGTTGCTCGGCTCGGCGGCGTCTCCTAAGGCGAGTGGTGGGCTCCTAATGGGGCACACAGCCTCACCTGGCCCCGCACGCCTGCTCAGGCACGCCTGCCCCCGCACGCCTGTCATAACACACCTGCCCCCGCACAGATCACGGGTTCTGTTTCTGTGCGCGTCGGTGAAAAAGTTTCTGCTAATTTTCGGTGGAAAGTGAGCGATTTTTACCGCTTAGAAACGGTCACAAAAAAAATCTAATCTCGATTGTTATGGCTTCCTGCGGGGGGGGGGGGGGGGGGGTGGTGGTTGGATCTCGCTACGTGGCTGTCAATTGAGCGCAAAGTGAGGTTAAATCGGAGGTCAGAGAGATTAATGAATTTAAAAAAATCCCAGTGCAAGAAGAAACCAATTAGAGACTTAATGAATGGATAGCTATGAAGTCAGAGCGAGCACTGCCCACACGCACGCACGCAAGCCGCTTCCTTTAATTTGCGCAGCAATTATTATTTCCCGAACCCATCGTCCGTAGGCAACCACGCATGGTGCAATTACGTGCTCGTAAAGCGCGACAGAGTAACAACGCGACCCCGGGGATCACGGTGCCGCCGCTGTAACAGAGCCCCTTTCTGCGCCAGTACCGCTCGTAAATCTTGCAGCCATCATCCCCGTCGACCGACATTCTCTCAACTAAAAACTAAACTATGTTTATTTCACCAGGTACGGTCAGGGAGGAATATCGCTTTTTTTTTCAGAAGCGACTTGGCTACAAATGATAGTTCAACGAAGCGGCTTATCATCACGTGGACATTTTATGGCAGCCAATTACTCTTAAACGCATGTTTTTAAATGTGGAGGAGAAGCCGGAGGAGAAGCCGGAGGACCAGGAGAAAGAAAAAAAACACACGACCACGGGGACAACATGCAAACTCCAAATAAACAGGGATCGAACGCACGACCTCCAATACACCAGGCGAGGTAGCTAACATCTCGCCACCCGGGTGGCAGCATGGCGAGCCATCGCTGTGCCGGGCTGGGCAAGCCACCCCTCGTAACTTCCCTCGCCTTCGTTAAATATCGAAGCGGGCGACTACTGGGACGTGTCGGGGCGCGCGTTGTCCCACCAGCCGACGGCCGTCGGTCTGAACCGCGCGGCGCGGTGGCCGGCGTCGTCACGCGGCAGGCGCATGTGCGCCGTCGAGACCTCCCGCACGGAATAGCGCCTCGTCGTTTTCTTCTTGGCGTCACCCCTCCTGACCGCTCCCACTCGAGCTCGATGCCCACGCGGCGCGGCGCGGCGCGGCGCAAACGCCGCGTGTCCCGATTCTATGGACGGAGGTGAAGGCGGATGCACGAAAGTCCACGGAGGAAATGACTGTCACGTCGCGCGCGCGCACACTTCACAGGGTGCGTGCGGTTAATAGGTCAGGGCGGACCATGTGACCGTCAGACACGCGATGGCGCACTGCATTTATATCTGCAGTGTGTCCGATCTCATCCGACCTGGGAAGCGAGGGTCGGTATATCGGACAAATAACAAATGTTGCCAAACTCCCTTTCCTAAGGCATCGAGGCGCAATACACCGGCTCGCCAGCAGAATTACACAGTCAAGCAAAGTGTGGACCGATATTGCCCATTCCTTCTGTACGGGATAGAGCGTTGCCCCCTCGCATGCATGCGTTTTCCCCGGGTGCTTCGCTTTCCTCCCACTAATTGGCTGAAAACACCTTAATCGATAGAGAATTGCAGATCAATCGTTGATGCCGACTCACGACCTGGAAAGCCTTGCAGCTCGGTCTGTGGTTGCTACTCAGTGATTGTGAGAGATGCAATTTACACGAACGACACGATATAAAACTAATAATTCGATTTTTTTATTAGCTTTCCTGCATAAATAGCTTGACCCAGTACGTTTTAATAATGACCATTATTATTATTACAGCAAAAGATTAACGGGTAGGCTTTCACGACCAATATAATTCATAATAAGGGTTTTTGGGTTAGATCGCGAAAATATATGAATGTTAGTTTAACACGTAGGCTTTCGCGAGCAATATAATTCATAATAAAGGTTTTTGGGTTAGATCGCGTTATTTATAAATGTGTCGTAACCCTCCACCACCCGACACGGCCAAAATATAAATGTTGATAGCTTCGGTAATACATCTTTTGTACCAGATATTAGATTATGTATTTTATGTACCGTGCCAAATATGACTCGGATAATAAACACAATCGCCAGGAAGGACAAGTTCAAAGGGCTCGTGTAATGCACATGCATAATGTACGTCTGTCTCAGCAATCCCCCCCCCCCCCCACATTGCGCAAGAGCGCAGAAGGGTAGTGAACACATCTACGCCTCTATATAAGCTGGTTGTAATTACTGGCGAAACGTTGTACTCAGTTTGTAAATGTTGTGGCTTGGCTCTCCAACACGCCGGTGTGCTGTACTCGTGACGAATTGGCAAGTTCTATTAACGTGGCAACCCTTACTAGTTGGCTGTGTCGGTTGGTGGCGGGTTTTAACGACACATTTATATATTTACACGATGTAACCCAAAAACCTCTATTATGGACATCAAAAGCTATTATCCACAATTCACTTGGAATGCAGGGTGTCGGTTAATCAAAAATGTGAGTTATCTAGAGTTATACCTATGATTCACTAAATTTTCCATGTACATAAATATTTTCAAGAAAGAAACAAAGCCTACATTTTAACTACGATATAAGACAAAAATGACTCTGTTGTAGAGAAGCAATGGGGCCGTTTAGAGTAAAGTACACAGTAGTACAGTACTGTATGTACAGATTGCCGCTAGCACCACCACTTGGCAGTGTCCTGAAGCTCCGTAACGACAGATCTTTGATGAGCGTACGGCAAGATGCCAGATGTCCGTCGGAAATTTTCCGGATACATGCAGGAACATTTGTAATGCCGTCTATGACATATGCCCGTCAATGGAGCGTTCTGGATGGTAAAAGTGCCGGATAACGGAGCTTTTGCTGTATTATAAAAGTGACAAAGGTATCCAACGGCTCTTCAGCCGCTGACCAGTGACTGACATCCAGCAGAGTTACGGCCATCAACCTTTGCGGCCGCCCCCCCCACCCTCCCTCTTCCAAAAGGTCAAGGGGCCGCGGAATAAAAGCCGTTTGCGAGGCGAGGCTAGCCTTGAGCCCAGTCCATTCGAGCGTCCAGCGGTTATTTGCCCGTTGGGATTTCCTGCGGACAAGGCGGAGCTAATTGTCGCCATGGCATCCGTGGACCGCTGGGAAAGCCCGCGGACAATGCGACGACGAAGGGCAGGGAGCGGGGGGGGGAGGACAAACGCATTTGCAACCACCGGGAGGAACAGCAAAGAAAAGGATCACGGCAGCAATAGCCGCACAAAGACAAAAGATTCCCCCCCCCCTCGCCCTAGAGCACCTACAAAGGCCGACAGAGACACGAGGGGGTGGCGTGGACAGCACCATGCTCGATCGCCTTCGTCTCTACAATCGCACCAGTTACTCGTTGGAGGCCAAGTTGACCTAGAGGAGGCCAAGGAACAGTTCGGGAATCGAACTGTGGGTAGTTGGGTTCGTAGCGCAGCTCACTAACTACTGCACCACCGCTCCCCGCGCACGTGCGCGCGCACACTGGCGCACACACGGGCGCGCGCACACGTGCTCACGTGCGATCGCATGATCGCACACGATTCTACGAAGAAATCCGCACTTCCCGTGAGTGGCTCTGGTCTGGGCAGGCTGCCGTGACAAACGCCATGAGCGGGCGAGGGGGGGGATGACGGCTGACGGCTAAGAGCGGTGACGGAGGAGCAGCCGAGGAACGGAGCGAGTCCGAGATGACGTCCATCAGCTGTGGACTGCAATTCATCATCATCATGTTTGATGATGATGAATAGCGAGTGAATAGTGGAGCTAGCACCACTCCCAGACGCTTTCGACCCCCCCCCATGCCCCAGAGGCCCAGCACAAAGCCAAGACTCGCCCCTGGCCTGCCTTCTCCTCTTTCATTTCACTCTTTCCCCCTCCACGCTCTCATCTCTTTCTCTCATCTCCAAACTTTCTCTGCTCCAGCAACCAAGGCCTCCCATGATGACCTTCACAATCCGCCTCCACGAAATGAGAGGTCACTCTTCTCTGCTGCTGCCCCCACTGTCTGGAACATCTTCCCCCTGGCCGCCCACACTGCCAATCTCTACCCCCGTTCAAGGCCCCGCCATTCCCCCCTGTCCCCCTCTGCCCAAGACCATCGTCCATCAACACAAATCGTCTGGGTTCATTCTTTATTCTGATTATTATTATTCGTTGCGTCTGTTCTCGGAACCAAAAAAAAAATCCCAGCCCTTGGGGAGCGAAACGTCGGGCATGTTGCCGAGCGACGCGCGGTACAACCCGGAATCGAGTCGTCAGGGAGCAGCAGCAGCAGCAGCAGCAGGAGCCGCAACAGCAGCAGCCCCTCTTGCGTCAACCGCGGTGACGCCACGCGCCCAACACATCACCCGGCCTGCACCCAACACATCACCCGGCCTGCACCCATGCTCGCCGCTACAGTCAGCACCGCCCCGACGGGACGCCGGGGGCACGGGCAGCGGCGGTGTTCGCTCGCCTGGTACGGGGGTGCGCGGGCGGTGTCCTCACAGTGGACATTCACGGGAAATGGCTCGTGTTTATTTAAACAGGGCACAATCAGCTGCCGCTATTGTAAATGTCAAGGGTCGGGGATCAGGGGTCGGATTTCACGCGCTACTCCTGTCTGTGGTGAGAAACTGCTTTGCTGCGGAGATAAACGACAAACGAGAGAGGCGATAGGTGAGCATCGATCCAGCCCCCCCGCCCTCACGACCCCCTCCCCCCCCCCCACGTTACGAAGCAATCAATTGTCGCGACTCAATTGAGGAATCGATTCTTATGTTTCAACGCTTGCGAGCGTTAACGCATTACCTCCGTCCACCTGGAACGTCTCTGCGAGAGCCACACGATGACTCTCGCAAAGATATGACGCAATATTAATTATTGCTTTAGTTTTAACGGTTCTGTTTCTTTTAGGGACTTGTGAAGGGGTCATTGTGACAAATTATCTTTGTGGCCATTACTGAACAAGAACAACAAAGGAATGGAAGGAAAAAAATGGGGGGGGGGGGGATGGCGGAGGCATTTGCCCAGCGGTGGAAAGTGATACAGGCGCCGTGGTGGCGAGATGTTAACTCCCTCGCCTGGTACGCAGCAAATCATGGGATTGATACAGACCCTGAAGGCTGTTGTGGATTTGTAGTTTGCACGTTTTTCCCGTGATCAAGTGGAATTTTATCCGGCCCTCCAGTTTTTCCCTCCACATTTAGAAACAATCGTTTAGAGAATTTGGCTGATATACATTTCCATCTGATAAGCCGCTTTGTTGAGCTCTCATTTGTGGTCAGGTCACTTCTGAAAAACAACTATAACAGCTCTGTGGACCTTGCCAGGCAAAAGAACAACTACAACAACAAGACGATCTTTTACATAATCATCTCTTCATAACTTTGGTCAAAACAAAAGCTATCACGCAAACGTCGGTGGACCACTGCTGGAGCACCAATGGGCGGAACCCCAACTGGAGCAGCCTCGCAATTTCTGACAAAACGGACACGGTGGCCCGGGGAGGCGGCAAACACAACCAGGGGGGGGGAGGGGATTCTCGAATCCATCTGTGCGAGCATTTCTGTGGAGGGGGGGGGGGGGAGAGGGCGCAGGGGTTCGCCTTTCCCACCGGGTTTCTGGTAGGTGACGTAGATGTAGAGGCTGAAAATGATGACGTAGGTGACGAGGGCGGCCCACCAGTTGATGACGAACATCACGCCGCAGCAGAGCGCCGCACCGAACAGCGACACCCACATGTTGTAGTACTTGAACGCCGGGCGCCAGCCTGCAAGCGCACGCGGGCGGGCAGGCACACGGGCATTGGGACGGGTGCCACACAGGACCATTACGGGCAATGGACCTTCATCATAGCAAACAGAACGTGCTATGAAGAACGGGCCATTGTCCGAAACATTGGCCGTCGTGTATTTTTTTTTTCTCTTTTCGAGCCACGCAGCGTTACTGACGACTGTGCAGAGCGTTTCGCGAACCTTAGGAGGCGGGGTGCACGCCGATTCGTATGAAACGCTTCGTTTGGGCACATTGGCAAGTTTTCTTGTTGCGCAATCAGCACGAGCATCGAGACCGCAGCGTTTTACGAAAAACCCGGTAAACAATCAAACAACAAAAACTCTCTCGCGTTTCACCGACGTGTTTACGGGACGCGCCGGTGACCTTGCTCGGCGCGAGTATCGCGTTGCGGAGCGCAGAGCGGCACCGATGGTCCCGGCACACGAACGCGAATCGGTCCGCCAAGCGCGACAAGAGCTGGCAAGGGACCCCCCCCCACCCCCCACCCCCCCCCCCCTCTCGTCAACACCCCCTTGACCGATTACAAAAGCGTACATCCAAGACAATGGGCACCCTTTATCAGACCCGATGGAAAAGTTTAAAAATGTGCCCTCTCTCGTCGAACGCGGCGAGCTAAAATTAGCCGAGGATAAATCTCCGCCAGCGTAAAATGCTTTAAACGCAACTTTGCTGAGCAAAAGCCAAATCGTGCAACTTGCAGGCAACCAAGAATACAGCTGATCAGCCACGTTTAGGATCGATGGTCGGTTTGCGTAAAATATCTTCAGTGATTATTTTGTGCACCCGACCACTGACTGGCCGATTGATTCGCAGGTTAGCGTAGATTAGTGCAGCTATCGCACCAGATCACCTCGTGGCCGTCCTGATGATGTCACGGTACCCTGCTTAAGGACCCGGGTTGGATGGGGAAGCTCGTTCACACGACAGCTGATGATGCTGGATGTTAAAAACTAGACAATAAATGTATTTATTTTATTTTACCAGGTAAGGCCTATAGCTCTTTCAGAAGCGACCTGGCCACAAATGAGAGCTCAACGAAGTCGCTTATCTCGTGGACATTTATAGCAGCTAATTAACGCAAATTGAGTTTAAATGCGGAGGGATAATCCAGGGGACCCGGAGAAAAATCCATGTGAACTCCAAATATACAGGTGTTAGGGTCGATATTTAACCCACGACCTGTTGTATACCAGGCAAGGTAGTTAACATCTCACCACCACGGCGCCCGCAGATGTAACCTCCAGCAAAACATTGTTAGTAACAAATTGTAAAAATGTTTACCTTAAATAATTCATCCAATTTGCTGAAAAACCAAATCAAGTGGCATATTTGCCCATCACGTGACAGCTTAATTAGATTGGCTCTGTCATCATGTGGTGGAGGGCTGTAGTAATACAAAAATTAAAATAACATTACACCTAAACGATGCCAACCCAAAATAAACGAATTGTGGATCAGAATATCGGTCGTGAGATAGATAGGCCATCGATCCTAAACTTTGGCACTAAAAGTATCTTCGGTGAAATTTCCCCCTTGGTTGGCACTGTAATTCATTGCCGCTTCGTTCAAACAGATTTACATTGGCAACTAAATGTCACTGAAGGAATTTTACCCACCTGGCTGCTGCAGTATTCAAGCAATAAAACCACCTGGTGGCCCTTGCACAATAAATCAGCCCTCTGTGATCAACTGGATGCTCGGCTCGCAGAGAGTCCGAGTGCCACTGCTGCCGAATGCCGTTTCAGCCTTACTTGGTGTTGTTTCACCGTTCGTTTGGTTCTGCTAATGCACACGTACGGACCCCCTTTGCCAAATCCACTGCTATGATGAGGTGCCACGGTGGCGAGATGTTAACTACCTCGCCTGGTATACAGGAGGTGGTGGGTTAAATCCCGACCCTGACACCTGCTGCTCTATATTTGGAGCGTGTTCTCCTATGGTCGCGTTAATTTTTCTCCGGGTCCTCCGGTTTTTCCGTCCATATTTAGAATCAACGTGCGTTTCGAGTATTTGGCTGCAATAAATTTCCACGTGATAAGCCACTTCGTTGAGCGATCATTCGTGATAACCAGGTCACTTCTGAAAAAGAGCTATATATATAGCTCAGTGGCCCTTACCTGGTAGTTTAATGTATCAGTTTAGTTTATGTGGATTGGTGATGGGCAAGGAGCGGACGCGCGAACGTACAAGTACAGCGCAACGTTGGATTTTTTTTGCTGCGCTGCCCCTGGTTGCGACGAAGCCCTGGGGCCTACGGCGCCGTTCACCACCACGGTCGCCCATCCCAGCAGCTGCCAGACACAAGGCTGCCTTGGCATTGAGACTATTTAGATGGTTTTGGTGCTATAAATGTCCAAATGATGGACCACTTTGTGGGCTTTGCCTGGTAGGATGGGGATGCTTTAGTTTCATTTGTATGTGTTTGGGTGATTTGTTTAAACGTTCTTGTACTTTGCACTGCTATCGTGTTTTTGTATTGTTCGTTGCAACGTTCTTACCCGACCCTACTAAACATCTGTGAAAAAGTGTTTCATAGCTCATCGGATTCCTCCAGTCGAATTAAAGATTCCGATTCTGAAGACATCGGGCATGTTTCGGGTGATCTGGTTTGAGACTAATGTTGTGTTAGTAGTATGTGTGTGTGTGTGTGTTCTGCTTCAGGAGATAATTTACATTTAAATTCCATTGATATGCAATTAACTCTCCACTTTACTTGTCTCTGTAACCTCACCCGATGTTTACTGGGCATATGCCCATTGAAAGGGACGTTTTGTCTTAATGGGTTTCCACTCCCCTGGTTGAAAATAAAGGATCTGTTCACGTACAGGCCTCATTGCTTATTCAGTTTTGCAAGCAGAGTTTGGCTTATGCAAGATCTGAATTTTTTAAGACGACTTTGAGATGAACTGCAGACCGCACACCACTCAAATTTTACATTTCAATCGGGGATAAAAAACGCTGACGGCAATTTAAAAAAAACTTTTTTAAAAAAATGTGTTAAAAAAATCTTACGGAAGACTACAACAAAGAAATATATTCGACAAAAATATAAATTATTAATTACACACCTTCAAACCAAAAAGTCACAGGCTTCATAGAAGCAGAAAGCCACGATAAAATATTAACGTCAACACGCCTTTCCATTTTCTCCCCGCCGTCGCGATGTTTTATTTTGTCCGCCCCCTACAAGCCGTGGTTCCCTTCGCCGTTGACTTTAAACAAACGGGTGCGTCAATTCCGCCGTGAAGGGCTTCCCCCCACCGCTTGCGCGCTGCGTTGCAAAGGCGCAAGAGCACAGGGCTCGGCCGACGATCACGTCGAGCGTGGAAACCGTCTCGGCGCGACTGATGCGGGCGATTGGAGCGACCGAGGCATCTGCCCGCCCCCCCCGCACGCCTGTGCATCACAACCGCAAAAAGGCACCAAAGTCGCCGAAGGTTGGTTACGGTGGCGTGTCCTAGAAATCATGCGGGCGGATTTACCCATTAACATTGAATGGAAAATTTTCAACCTGCACTCCCCACAAGCCCAAAATATGAGCCACCGTATTTGGCTCGTGAATTCTACAATTTTTGCGTGCTATGGCGGCAATACGTTCAGGAGCTGAAAGGCCAATGTCGAGGGTTGCTAGCCACAGGACAAAATTCGTGTGGTTTTGCTATTCATCCTCCTCTGTTGAAGCAGCACGGACTACGGTGGGGTTTACTATATGGTCCATAGGTGTGGGTTGGATGGCCACAATCGCACTGCTGCGGCTTTTCCATTCATGAAGGAGATGTGCGCATCGGCCTGTTGACATTCTGATGCGGTCGACGGTTACACCGGTGTCATGTTAATGACGGGCCAAGTTACCTCTTGCATTTCATCTCTTTACGTTGCTTCATACCTTCAGAGTACAACGTGCGGTAACGTTAACTGCCGAGCACTCGAAAATAACACGACAGGCTGCAAACTGGCTTCGGGAAAACGATCTGGGTTCTGTTAAGTAAAGAGGATCCAGCTGGGCCCCAACCATAAATTGGCCCAGTATTTTAAGAACATGCCGCAGTCCCTCCAGCCAAGGGCGTCAACAGCACAGCGACATCGACCCTGGCCAACGGGGAAAAGATCCCCAAAGCAGCCTACATAGGCTGTTGGGACAAGCGCTATTTGAGAGAACTTATGAAGGCCGGCCACGGGACACGAGGAGGTGGGTGGCCGCCTTTATTTCCCCAGTGCTGATGTTTTATGCACTGTACCAGGTACTCATCTGTAAGGCTGAGTTGACTTAAGGGAGGCTTACGACCGGTTCAAATATTCGCCACCATTATTTGGTCATGAGCGTGAATCGAACTCGGGTCACCGGGTTTGGTGTGCAGCGCACTAACCAATTGCATTACCTCTCCCCTTAGACACATCGTTGTCTTTGTACCATTAACACACACGCACACCCGAGCAATCTCCTCCGCCACTGCAGGGATGCCCCTTTACGAGTGGTGAACGATCGAACGTCGCACCTGGGGACTTGGCGAGAGAGGCGTGGAAGCAGGAGAAGTTGATGAGCGCGTACGAGGCCAGGAAGAAGTTGGAGATGATCGGGGCGATCACGTTGAGTTCGGCTGCACGCGGGGAGTCGCGGGGGAGACGAAGGCCAGAACACGTGGATCAGGATCAGCAAACGGGCAAGCGGAGGCTCGGTCCTTGGCACAGGCCCCGCAGAATGACAAGACGGAACAACACAAGCAGCTGTCGGCTCAAGTCCGCGCGGCGGCCTGCGTGGTAGGAGGGGCTGGCGAGGCGACCCTGCTCCCCACCGCGGCCGCCACAGAGGCCGCCACTATGCCTCACCGATGAGAATGAAGGCGATGGCGATGATGAAGGTGAGGATGTAGCCGCGGATCGGCTCGTTGTTCTTGCCGTAGCCCACGGCGAACATCTGCATCTTTGGGTAAATGTTGTCCTTGCACAGCGCCTGCGGGAGGGGGGGGGGCAGTGGAAAAGATAAATTAAAATAACTGCTTCCAGAACGCGTACGTCGAGCCTGGTTACTATGGGTGGCCACCGACACCCTCTACACCCTCCACACAAGCAGCAGCGTGCAGAGGGCCACCGTGAGGCTTTGCTAAGCTCACACCGAAGCCATCACTTATGCACGTGGATGGAATCTTATCGCTCCATCTCCCAAGCGATCAACCTCTCCGGTGCGTTCTCCTACTTTTGGCTGCCATTCTGTCATCAGTCTCATCCGTCGGCTACCCAACCCTTCTCACACCACAGGATGCATGCTCGCGTAGGCCCACTTCCCCTTTGCCGAGCGGTCACGGTTCCCGGTGTGCGGGAACGAGTCGGGGAGAGTGCCCGTGGCGTGGACTCGAGAGTGGCGGCTGCACGCGAGCGCCCGTCTCACCTGGAAGACCTTGGGGGCGCTGACGAGCGATGCGAGGGCGGATGACAGCGTGGCCGCGAAAATTCCGGCCGTGATGAGTGGCCCGAAGCCCGAAACCATCGTCATCAGCTGCCAGGGACCACACGCACAAAGACGCCGGCGCCCGTAAGCCACCCTCACCGGCCAGCGAGCTTGCGTCTCAACATGTCGAATGCTTAGATCATCATCATAGTTGTCATCAGCTATAAGATATTGTTGTGAATGTAGATGCCCCGAGTGGCTGGAGGTCGGGGGGGGGATGGTCATGTAAATCCTCATGACCTTGAGCATATAGGAATCGACAAACATCGTTTTTTTTAATCGCATAACAATAGCCGTGCAAGTGCTGAGCTCAAGAAATTTCAACAATTGAGAAACGATTACCCTGGGCCCACTACCCACTCATTAACACAACCACCAGCAGCAGCATCAGCAGCAACGATCACTCCACTGCCATCGCCACCCCCCACGGTCTTGTGATGGAACGATCCTTCCAGTTCCTCTGCACCGGAGTCGACATTATCGCTCCTCCTCCTTCGCTCTTAGCGACCGTGCCGTCACCGATCCTGGTCACTATCCCAGATAGCGGCTGCGTCCTGCCGGAGCCCATTTGCACGCCGTCTCTAACTTGCGCATTTTCTCCGATACAAGCATTCCTCTTCCTGTCTACCAGTGCAATTCCAAGCTACGTGGCTCTTTTGCAGTAGCGACCTGGCCACAAATGATAGTTCAATGAAGTGGCTCACCATGTGGAAATTTATATCAGCCAAATACTCTGCACGCATGTTGATTTTTCCGGAGGACCCCGAAAAAAATCCACGCGACCACAGGGAGAACATGCAAACTCCAAATATAGAGCAGGCGTCAGGATCGGAAGTTAATCTCCTAGCCACCTGGTGTCCCCCTTTGTGAGTGTTGACTTTTCCAACAGTACGTTCTAGTCTATCCACAGTACGTAGCGGCAATAACAACATTTCCCCATTGCAAACCTCGTTCATGAGGCACAATGGATGGAGCCGCTTTTCAAACGCTGAAAATTAATTTTTACAAAAGTAACCTTGCTGTCGCTTGCGCCTCGCCCTTCACCACTGCGATCCCAGTCTAGCCACGATAACCGCTCTAGGTGTACGTGCGTGACGTGGAGTGTCCCCACGCGTACTCACGTTGACGAGGCAAGTTATGCATAGTCATGCGAGGCGCGCTCATTCACATTTCATATGCACAGCCACACACGAGGGCAAGGACTCGGGCGTCGCAGAGCGGACTCGGAGTAAATGGATTCACCCGAGCTCAACCTCCGCAGATCTAACAGGTAGACTCGATGTGCATTCCTGTTACACGCGACTTCAAAACAACGTCGTCATTTCTCACGAGCAGACTCGCTGTGGCATCGCCGGCCGCGCGGGCGTTAACTGGACGGTCTGCACGGGTGGCGGCGTCAGATTTCGCGGCCGACCTAACAAAGCCCAGTTCTTTACAAAACGGAAACGGTGAAAGGCGAGAGAGGACCGCGCGGCACCTCGCCGCAACAGACACCGGCGAGCGCCGAGGGCTCGAGCGTGGTGGGAGCGTTAATTGGCTCCCCGTCATCGTCGGTCCCCGTTCTTCGATCTCCGGTGTCAATTGCTTTGCGCGGCGGGGACGCAGCGCGGGCCTAATTATTTCTCGCGGACGTGAGATGATTTTCTTTTTTTTTTGGCCTCCGCCAAAAAAGGTCACGCGCGAAAGGTCGCCCCCGCAAGCCGGCCGCCAGTGCCTTGCGCTTTTAACATCACGACGCCTTAAGACTCGTCCGCACAGAATGCTTTTCATGTCCGTGAAGCGCAATTAAGTATTACCGCGCAGCAAAAAAAGAAACTTGAACCATCGAGCCAAAAAACAAAAAATTACACTTGGCACCTGCGCAAAGGAGATTTACTCCGTTCCCGTGTGATTTCCTCCGAGATTCCAGACTCGGCGGCAGCCCTGCTTCGCATGCCGCGCCACGCGGCAACGGCGGGGAGTTGGCGACCGCGCCCGTGACGGGTTCCATTCCCGAACCCTTCCCAATCAAACGCTGCCGGGCGTCGCTCATCGATCGGCCTGTACGCCGGAGAGCAGTGGACGAATAGAATCGTTCGCAAAGGGGGGGTGGGGGAGCAGCAAACTCTCACCCGGTCACTTTCATTTTGCGTCGCCTTAAGAGTTTAGAGAAAAACGAGAGCAGCAACAGCCATTTTCACCACCAAGCGCCAGTGATGTCGCCACCAAGTGGTTCGTGCCAGGCTAGGTGCACTTTGGTTCGCCACGTGACGTGACGAAGGCTCGCAAGAGCGAGAGGGGGGATCATGGGACAGACTCAGGGTGTTCAGGGTTGACTCGCTGAGATGGCTGGCAGATGCTCCCACCTGTGCTTCCCCCCACCTGCGCCACAGTCAACGCGAACAACTTCCCTTGCAAGGGCTCAGAAAGCAGGCTGGCAAAAAAAAAAACACCCAGCAGCACACCGGCCCTTGTTGCACTGAAAAGGACGGATCTGTATTTGGCAGCATGAAATCTGTGACACGTGCCAGGCGTGTGAGCCACGTGTGTTTGTGTGTGTGGGAAGCGCATCAACTTTATTTTAGCTCTGTAATGCTGCTCTCAAAACACTCCCTCGTTGGCTCACTTTAAAAAATATATTATTGTAACCACTAAGCTTGGAAACCTAGAAAAGTCTCAAGACTGTTTTTAAGGAGGCTCCTGCCAAGTTGCATCCAGAGCGGGCGACGTTGCTGCCGAGTGTTTATCCCAATCGAGTGACGTGCAGGGACAATTTCAGCGTTGGGATGCTTGTTCAACACCGGTTACATTATATTATTTTGTAGCCGTGGGAGGAAGCCCACGCAGAACAGCGGCGGGTGGGGGGGGCCTAAACACACACCAAATTCCACGGAAAAAGGCAACCGAGTTAGGACAAGAACCCAGGCCCTTCTTTCTGCGAGGCACAAGCGTCATCCTCACCGGTGTCACCAACTCGCCGGCTCGACAGCCTGAAAGCAGAGCCACCGTTAAATGGTGAGGCCCTTGCGAGACGAAACGTGTGGTGGGAAGTTGGGGGGACGACGACTCCTCCCCCACACGAGCACGGGGTTTGCGAGTCGCGACCTGCGCGCGCACGCCCCCGCGCACCCGGCGGCCCGCGGGACCGGCGGGAACCTACAGGCCTCCTGAGCGCAGCATCGCGTCGGACCTTTCACAAGCGGCACGGCTAGCGTCAACAAAAGCTACGTAGCGGCATTGCCCGACGGTGCGCCGACGGTCGAATGTCATCGGCCGTTGTCTACAAACCGCTGGATGAACGCCTCCCATCCCCCGCCTCCGCCCCATGGCGTCCACATCCCTCGCGGGGCACCACCGCTGCTACCGCCAGTCGTCACTTATGCACGTGGACGGATCTCATCGCTCCATCTCTGCGGCGGTCGTCCTATTGGGCGAGTTTTCCCCCATTTTGGCTGCCAGCCCGTCACCGGCCTCATCCTTTGGCCATCTCATCCCCTCTAGCCATGACGTGCCCTGCCCAAGCCTCAATACGAAGTTTTCTAATCCACGTGTTCCTGTAATCATACAGCGGTGGTCATAATAAAAGAATAGGAGTATTGTTTGTGCTGACGCACGAGTCAGAAAGCCGGCGTTTAACACAGCCAACTGAAAAGATGACAACGGGCCTTTAATGACGGACGTTATAAAATTCCATGAAACGGGGATGAAGGGTGAAAAACTTGTAGGCTTCGAAAAGTAGATAGATAGGTGGCAATAAATTGTTGGAAGATGTAAATCAGGGATTGAAGGGTGCGATGGGCGGGCCACATGTGCAGGATGTATGGGGGAGGGCGGTCGCCGAGCCTGGCATTGGAGTGCCACTCAGAGGTTGGGAATCAAGGAGGGAAGGCAAAAAATAAATCTAAATCCAGACCACGGTGGCGATGAAAACGGTGGTCACTGAGGGTCAGGTGTCAACTTTTGGATCTGGCAGAAAGGAAGGGAAGAGATGGCGAGACGCAGAGAAATCAACGGCCAAACCTCTAGACCTTAACCTCGTTATATTGAGAACAAAGGTACAAAAAACAAAGTTATTCCAGCTTAAGAGCTGCGCTTTTCCAAATCCCTGCCCTTTGGGTTGGGATTTGGCATGCGGCAGCACGGGGCAACGCACGCGGGTGTGAAATTTGATTATTCAGCTTGCAGATTTTTTTAAAGAAATGGAAACTCACTAAACTCCAGCCAGTGGCTATGCTCACACTAAGGGGATTACCGACGACCACAGAGAGATTTTTGAAAAATGTTCAACGATCCCCGCTGCGAGGCGTACCAACACAACGATTAACGGTAACGACTGCGAGCGATTAACTCGCCCCAGCATCCCCTTCCCTTCCTCCTTTACCACAAATGACCCCGGCGCTTCAAGAACACGGCTGCGAGAGTGCGTGCGTGTACGCGTACGCAAAATGTGTACGTGCGTGCGTGGATGGGGAGCGGGATTGCGGCGGCCAGCGGCGCTGCGCCGTGAATCCGGCGACCCGAGTTCGATTCCCGCTCACGGCCGACGGCGGTTCTGTTACAGGGATACGCACTTTACCTACGCGTACATGGGTAAGTGCGTATGGGTGCAGCAGCACCGTGCGATTACCGCGGAGAGTAGCGCGGTGGGCAGGTCGCGGGCGACGCGTGGTAATCGCGGGACACCGCTGCGTTCGCCCTATGTACACACGCAGGGGCGTGCGTACGTGCCCGGGTGCGCCGCACCTGCACGTTGTCGATGAGGCCGTAATTGCACTCGTGCTCCCTGCAGAAGGAGAAGTCGTAGCCCAAGTCGCACGCCGCGCCCGAGCAGTTGGTGGCAGAGCCGCTCAGCGCCAGCGAGTCGTTGATGCGGCCCGTGGCGTGGCGCACCGCCACCGAGCCTGCGGGACGCGCCGCATGAGACGGGGACACGGGGCCGGGGAGGGGGGGGGGAGACATCGGATCGGGGATCGGATGGCGGAGGTTAGCGTCGTCGTTCGGGTGCCGTGACCCACGTTTGGTGGCGCTGGACCAACGCCCCCCCCGCCCCCCCCCCCCAATATCGGAAATCGCTTTTTCGGTGCCCCTCGTCCTTCAGATTTAGAAGCTCAGAGAGAAGGGAAGTGGGCAAGCGATCTCAACATAGCGAGGTGGCGGGAATGTGGCCCGAAGCTTGAGCTCTCATAAGAGGAGAGAGGAGACACTCATGAGACAGATGTAGAGAATTGAGAGAGATAAAGACAAGAAACAGAGATGGAGTTAGACGAGAGAAGAGCTCCAGGCAACATAGGGATGAGAGATTAAATCGGCTATTCATGTTCATATTTCTGCGTAAATTAGAATTTAAATTCAACGCGACGTTTGAATCGCCTCTTTTTTTAATGAATCCAGGGCCCCCTCTGCTCACTGGGGCTCTACGCTTTTGCTTGGTTTCGCTGCAGCCCCGGCACCATCGCTGATAACCCGATTCCATCGCTAATGTTCCGCTGGGAGGCGTTTGCTTCCTTTCGGCAATAAATCAGAAAATGGAAACCGATGACTTCAATCAAAAGATAATCTCAGCAGTAATGGCTCCGTGAACTGGGGCCTCCTGGCAGCACCCAGCCAACGAGTGCGTTGCTGTTAAACACAACGGGGGAGCGGTAGTGCAGTGGCTAGCGCCCTGCGCTACGAACTCGGCAAACAGTTCGATTCCCGCTCGTGGCCAACACCAGCGGCTATTATCTGCACTGGTGCTGGGCCTCCTCTAGGTAGACTCAGCCTCAAATATGATGCGTAAACATCACCACTAGGGAGACAAATTTTGGTCGGGTGTGGTGCTGGCCACCCACCCCCTCGTGTGCCGTGCCGGCCTTCATTAAGTGCTCGCTAACAGCACTTGCCCCAACAGTTTGTTAAGGCTACACAGCAGCTGAATTTGTAAATGGCACTCTGGAGTGCAAGAGGTCTTCTTAAATTTCGATTTAAAGCTTTCGTGACTGCAAGGATTCATCTTCTTTGGTTCTTTCTGTAAAGTCACGTAGAATGAGAATAAAATAATAAATTGATAAAATAAAATAACACAATAAAATTCTCACGACGTTTCGGCCACAACACAAGCAGCCTTCATCAGGTGAAGGGACGAGACTGTCTGCTCCAGCGCTGTCCTCCAGACAGTCTCGTCCCCTTCACCTGATGAAGGCCGCTTGTGTTGTGGCCGAAACGTCGTGATAATTTTCTTGCGTTATTTTATTTTATCAATTTATTATTTTATTCTCATTCTACGTGACTTTACCGAAAGAACCAAAGAAGGTCTTCTTAAATTGATGCTGAAACAAAATAAAGTGGGGGAGGCAGGGGGGTAAAATAGCGCCGAAACAACCCATCTGCCGAAGGGCCGGACGACCCTTCGGCGGATCCTGCCTCGAAATTCGATTAACTTGAACATGCGGCAACGGCCCCCATCCATTCACCGGAGTGGCCCAGTGCGGCCGTTGGTCCGTCAGTGATGCTTCGCAGGGCGGCCTCGAAATTCGGAAAAAGTTTGCACAGCTGCGCCGGGTTATTGAAATTGCCAGGCCTCTTCGTAACGAACGCTGCGCGCGCCCCCTACCCAGGCCAGAGCCAAATGATCGAGGAGCGAGCGGGCGAGCGCAAGGTGCCGCTGCAAACCGCGAGGGTCGTTCTGCGGTCGCGACTCAAGCGAAATCCGCGACACGCTCGGACACGGCCTGTCGTCAAGGCAGGATCATCATTTATAGCCAGGGAAAACTTAATTCCCCTTCTGATTAATTTACGTGCTCTTTTGCAAGCCTGCGCACAACCAGAACGGGGAACGGGGGACGAGGGGGGGGGGGCAGGGCGAGCCGTGGCAGAAGCTCTTGAAAGCATGCAGGCGGGTGCACAACTGCACCGGAGAACAGTTGCCACCTTTCGTGGTAAACAAAAACCCGGGGAGGTATCATGTAAGGAAGACATGCTCACAGGGAGGCGGCAGACATACATATATAAATGTATCTTGAGTGGTGTAATGTTGTTACGATCATTATGCAACAGGCAAAAAAAGACACGGCGCTTTTAAATGGAAGATTTCCCCCCCCCCCCCCCCCCCCCGCAGATGCCGCCTCCTCAAATTACGAGGCCGATCCTGGGAAAAACAGGACAGGTGGCAACCCTATGGTCGGAGCCCACAGGTGGGAGAGGGGCCCAGGTGCGTGGCAACAAAGAGGGGTGGGGGAGCCCACCATTGACGAAGGCCGACACAGAGAATAAAAGCGCGAGATTTGAAACTAAACAATTTTTTATTTTACCAGGTAAGGCCCACCGAGCTGTATAGCTCGTTTTCAGAGGTGACCCGGCCACAAATGATAGCTCAACAAAGTGGCTTATCACGTGGAAATTTATAGCATCAGCGAAATACTCCAAATGCGTGTTTCTGAATGTGGAGGGTAAAACCGGGGTGAGCCCTCAATACTCTGGTATTGCGCTGTTTTTGAGTTGTACGCCTTTTGGCGTCTTCTGGTCCAACACAAGTGGAGACTAGGCTCTAAGAAAAGCCGTCTCGGGTGTGGATCAATCAAATTCAAGGACAGTGCATATTATTCTCAGAGTTGTCTCTTTTGTTTGCATTTTGACTGCTTGTGTTGTGGTTATTGCAAACATGATGCCGTGAATAAAGGTATCAGTTTTTGTGCCAGTTAAAAGGGTAAAACCTATTACTATAACGGGGAGAGAGACATGCAAATTCCAAATATGCAGGCCACAAGGGTCGGGATCGAAACCACGAACTCCTGCATACCAGGCAAGGTAGTTAATATCTCGCACCCATATTTGGAATAACCGCAAAGTCTCTTTCTCCACGCGTGAATTCCGTGCCCTCTCCACAGAATCAAGCTGGGTCCGACAGAGACGGGGAATATCAGCATCTGCGATGTTTACTCCCCCACGTAATAACAGCAGCGGGCAGGAGGAGCCCTACCGCGTATGACAGCGTGAAGAAAATTGTAAGCAAAAGTGAAAAAGCTTAAAAGGAGGCCAAACCCGATGGCCAGAAATCTGAAAACTGCCAAACAAGATTTGTTTGGGAAGCTGTGATGTTCAGCCTCCGAGGAAGACTTGGAAATTACATGAAAACAAATTAATTGCCACGTGAAACGCGACATCATCAATTCCTAACTCGGCCACAAAAACACCGTGAAACTGCGTCGGGTAAAATGTATGAACAACACTAATGACCTTTTTCCCAGTAACGGGAGCTCACAGACAAATACACTTTGTGTGCCCAACTTTAGAAGGGGGGGGGGAAGAAAAAAAACCTTTCAGGCCTCTTCCCCGCTAATGTGTTTACAAGCTCGTAAACGCTAAACCGGGCTCAAGTGCAGTCTCTCTGCCCAGTCGCTGCCAATAAGTGCATACACACAGAGCAATTTATTTATATATATTACTCCATTCGAGCACCGAGGATTAAAATTCCTGGTTTCATTGTCCTGTGACAAGCAGGCAAAACCTTATAGAAGAGTGTAGCAAAGTATGCCCCCTGCTGTGTAAAGATAAATATTCCGATTGAAGGTTTTTTTTCAGAAGGAAATCCCTGAAAAATGTCTTGCACGGTGCCTTTCTCAGACACGCGCGGAGGAAACGCTGCTCCCCGAGATATCCCAATGGGTTCATTGTCTCACGACGCAAATGTCGATAGCGCACCAGAAACAACGTCGGAAAATACCACAAACGACAATTCTTATGGTCTAATTTTTATGATCTTGTGTGTATTATTTCTCCGATTTTTTTTTTCTAGCATGGTCACGTATTTTTTGTATGCGATCACTTACATACATTTTTAATAAAAAATTCTTAACACGCGTACCAAATCGACGAGTCAGATCACGAGTGTAAAAATCCATTTCAATCGACCGATGTGCATCGCCGCATGCCCAGTTCCTAGCGAGCCATTCTTGATGCGCACATTGGTTCGCGCGCATTGGTTTGCGTGCGTACCAGCGCGCCGCAAAGTTGACACGTCCGACGCGCGTGAACTCCGGTTAAAAGGTAACGTTTATGAGCCATCTGCAGGCCGGCCAAGATACTCATCGCTTTTTACAAGCCGTGCTAGGGGGCAGGCAGTGGCATTTGAACCCACGACCGCAGCAAGCGCACATCCGCCCCGTGTTAGCTTTTTTTGTGAGATTCCTTTTTAATTATTATTTGAATCGACTTATAACGAGCGAACAGACAATGTCAAGCACCATAATGACTCTGATGACTGCCCAGCAAACGCCAGAGGGCCACACTGACAAGACAGAACGAACAAGTGACCAACTACGGAAGACTGAGATCATTTAGGAACACAAGATGGAGGAATACTTGAACATAATAATTTATTTCGTGTGTACTTTACAGCTTTACCGAGTTCACAGATTGGCCGACCTGACTATGAATGTTTGACTGAATGTTCGACTGCCTTAGTTGAACGCACAGCCGCACGCAAGCAAGCACACACATACGCATGCCTAACACGCACACATGCAGCAGGCCACGTTTTGGAAGTGCCGCGTAAAAGGCCCCTAAAACGTAGGGGGGAGGGGGGGGGCACAGCTGAGCGCTGGTGATCTGACAAGTTAACCGGTGAACACGTTTGCCGGCGTCGGCAAGGAACAGTTTCGATTGCCTCCAATAAACACTTGCGATCGCCGTTAGCACACAAACAGTAAAGATTAAAGTGTGCCGATTAACGAGGTGCCTTGTGTTTTTTGAGGGGGGGGTGGGTGGGGAGGAAAGTTGGGCGGGGGGGGGGGTGAAAGTCACGGCACACGACGACGGAGAAAATCCTCGATTTACCATGGGGGTGCGCGAGTCAGGTTGACCGGGTGTTATAAAAACAATTTTAATCAATTGTGGCGAGAGAGCCAAATTCCCCATCACGAAGGCAGGTTTGACATGGCCATAAAGCAGGTGCGCTCCTGTACGAGAACGGGCGACAAAAGCGGGAAACGTTGTGTGGTTTTTAACCCATCCAAAACGCCAGTGCAGAAACGGCTCTCGAACTGACGGCGCTCTAACGGACACTTCGCCGAAATCCACAAGATTCCTAATCCTCGTCATCACCATCAACCACCATCTATCTACCAGTGCACGAATGCCTGTCCGACGCCCATCACACGGCACCCCTCCCACGGTTTTGCGTGGGAGGGGTGGCGCACGATGCAACGATCCACCGACGGTAGCAGCTCCCGCACAACGGGCCCATTTTCGTCGCTCCATCTGCACGGCGAGACATCCTCTCTCGTGCCTGCCGTTCCGCTTGCCGTCTCGACCGCCGGCCAACGCCTAGTCTCGCGGCGTCGTCCTGCCAAGGATCAATTTACTTTTCCTAACAGGTGGCAGTCAACGCGACGTTCTCTATTCCACGCCCTCCTCTTTTTGCCTCTCGGTCTGCACCTCCGAGCGTGCAACCTCTCCATATGCTCCTTTAAGCACTCTTCCACTCTCGTTCCATTTTCTTCCGTCAACGCTCCCCGCCTGTTTCCAATCCTAATGTCGCAGCGGGACAGATGGATGCACTGGTTGAAAAAAACTTCTTTCAAAATTTTTATAAAGAAATAAAATCGGCTTGCTACACTTGCAGCACGTTGCTCGCTCGCTCACTCGCCAGCTCGAGGAGTGTGCTTGGGAAGAAGCGACGCCGCTTGCCAAGCGTGGGTCTTTCGCGGCGGCGCTGTCGAGCTTCGTAAACCCGCGTTTGGGTTGCACCGGCACGTCACTCGGCACGACGCGGTCCCAAATTCAGCTGCTGAAGAAGCTCCCAGGCGCACGCAGCAGCCAAACGTCAGCACCGGTGGCAACCCGAAAACAAATACGAGAGCGAGGCAACACCCCCCTCCCCCAACCCCACCATGCGTTTTTTTAAGCGATCCCTTGCTTGCGAGCATGGCGATGCGTTTACCACCGCTGTTAGTCAATGCACAGGAAATAAACGAGATAATAAAACCTCAAACGTAAAATCCAGGCGTGACGTCAAACACCGCCCGCGTGAAAAAACGAACGCGCTGGGTGACGATAAACGGACGCCGCGCCCTCGCAATTCTTCTCTCGCGCGTCATTAACCTCCCCCCGCGAGGTCATGCCTGACCTTTATAAGGAACCGACACAAACACAACTCAGCTACTGGCAGAACAACAAACACACAACAACACCTCTCCCAGCCCAACATCGGTGCTGCCAACCAAACGAGCTCACCACTACCGCCCGACTCAACCAACGACCAGACTCACTCACTACTACTCGGTGAATTACTCGCCACCAGGAGGGCATGGAATTATGATGCTCCTCCTTGGTGATCATAGTTTTGTGGAGCGTTCCTAAACTGCCGTCACCCGAATGGGTGAATGATTGTGGCTGACCTATGTGCACACCTGCCCCTGCCATAGGAATGTGGAATTTATGCCAACAGATGAGATTGCCTGCCCATGCTCAACCGAGCAAGATATCTGACACGGACATCAGCTGGATAGGTGAGACAACAGCCTAACATTGACACAGCAGCCTAACATAACAGCTCCAACAGCCCAGAGACTATACCCTGAACACTATCCAACAGCTTGACGACACACCAGTGAAATGACTGCACTAACAATTCTAATGACCACATTGACAGCAGCCTAAATACTACACAGACGCACAACCGCCAATGGCTAGAATGCTCCCTTAACAATCTCGCCACGTACCCGACCCAGGCCTAAACAAACAACGCAGCCCAGAGACTTTAAATCATCTCGTCGCTGCGCCCACGCGGGCCGCGAGTGTGCCGCCACCATCCATTATCACCGTCCGCTGCCGGGGCTACGGCCTGGCAGGAACTTCGTCCTTTAAAAACAAAACCTCCCAGTGGCCCTTGACAACCGCTCCGGCATCAGGCTCTGGGCATTTTCAATAACTCGCGTGGGTGCCAGCCGCCCTGCCCGCTGGTCTCATTAAGCGGCCTTTCACCGACCCCCTCCCACCCCCTGCAAATCAGCGGTGGGAACGCGAGGTGGCCATTCTGAGGGATCAGCGGAGTGCTTCATCAGACTCGGTGGCGCAAGGGCAGTCAACGGGAGGACGGGTTTGTAACGAACCTTGCAAAAACGAACCTCGCTCTCGCGCCGTTGCCGGGAGACCTACCTGGTGAAGGTAAAGGCGTAGCTCACGTGGCATAGCGCCGTTGTTTTTAAAGACATTATACTAACCGCAAAGAACTGTAGCGACACGACCGCACTACATTAGCTGGCGTCAAACTGTGCCACACGCCCTGCCAAATGGCCTTGTGGGAGCCTCGGTACCGATAAAGTTATTTTATATTAGTTTTTTTTCCAGTTCCAATAACACCTTCATACATAGAGGGCCGCAGAGCTTTGGGAGTGATTATGGTGCTGGCTCACTGCCTCGCTGCTGCCCTTCCCACTCCTCTTGTGGTTCCTCGTGCGTTTGAGTCGCTCCCTCTCTCCGGGAAAGAGCGAGCGAGCAGTGTTACGGCGCCGCGTTAGAAGTTAAAATAATTGCTGCAGGACACTCAACAAGAGGAACTTGAGGCATATTATAAAGGAGATGGATACGGCGAAAGACAGTGTAAATCTCAGGAGATAAGAATGGTGAGAGTAGACTTCAAAGGACATGTTGGGAAAGGGTGGAGTAGATGGTTTAATTGGGTCGCATGGATGAGAACAAATGCCATATTATGGTTTGATCGGGAACATCATCAGCATCACAAGAAGCCGGAGAAAACCGCAAATTAAGTTACACAAGCAATTTGAGCAACCGAATGCCACCGGGGAGGAGCATCTAAAGTTGTTGAGTAAATATCACGGCCAGAGGTAAGGGCAAGGAAGGCCAAGATCACCGACGTCTTTGAGAAAGGAGGTGGCACACAGAGAGAGCGAGAAAGATTATCATAGAGGGAGCTGTGGCAAGCCCCCCCCCCACCATCACCCACACCCTCACCCCAATACAACTAAATATTTTTTTTATTTTACCTGGTAAGGCCCACTCAGATTTATAACTCTTTTTCAGCAGCGACCTGGCCACAAATGACAGCTCAACGAAGTGTCTTAGTCATCACGTGGAAATCTATAGCAGCCAAATACTGTAAAACGCGTGATGTTGATTCTAAACGTGGAGGGAAAAAACGGGAGGACCCGGAGAAAAATCCACACGACCACGGGGTGGAGAGGGACACGGAAACTCCAAATACACAACAGGCGGCGGGGTCGGGATCGAACCCTCGACCTCCTGTATAGCAGGCGAGGTAGTTAACATGCCGCCAGCGCGGCGCCCATGGCTGACGAGAGAACGCTTCCTCGCCCCCCGCTTGCCCGGCATGAGGCGGCCGGCGTTCCACAGGCGGCTCTCACCTGTGCTCATGGCGACGCCGAGGTACGTGATGGTGGTGATGAGGATGGCCAGCATCGTGCCGCGCGGGATGGCTGCCTGGGGGTCCTGTGGGTGCAGAGCGCAGTGGTGGGCGGGGCATGGGGGGGGGGGGGGAAGGGGAAAGTTGGCGGCACATTCACCAATTGTTCACAGTCTCTTGATTTCGACGTTCCGATGACAGGGGAAAATGTGTGGGGGGGGGGGGCGAAAGATAGGGGAAGAAGTGGGTGGGGGGGTGGGGCACGGAGGTCGTTCCTCAAAGTCATTCCCATTCATGACGGTTGTGAAACTTACGCAGTTGGGTTTGAAATGCCTTAAAACTAACACCTAAACTATTTTCTATTTTACCATTGAGCTATGTGGCTCTTTATCAAAAGCAACCGGGCCACAAATGACAGCTCAAGGAAGCGGCTTATCGCGTGCATATTTATAGCAGCCAAATACTCTAAACGCACGTTTCTCAAATGTGGGAGGGAAAAACCGGAGGACCCGGAGAAAAATCCACACGACCGCGGGGAGAACATGCAAACTCCAAAGATACAACAGGTGTCAGGGTTGGGATCGAACCCACGACCTTCCTGTATACCAGGTGAGGTAGTTAACATCTTCTAGCCACCGCGGCACAAGGGGGTGGGCGTTTAGCAGCTTGTTCATTCCGCGCTGTTTGCCACGCGTCTCTCGTTCGCATCGTTAAACCCGAAGATGCGTTTGCATAGAACTTCCATTGATTGCACACGCGGTTGTTTCGTACACCCACAATTCAAATGCATGCATTGGGCGCATTTCTGACCCGTGTGTTCCTCTTGTGGACATCGGCTCGAATGAAGTCTGGGGGCGGGACGCGTCATGGCTACAACGGTTGATCGCTGCGTGGTCAAGACGGATGACGGAGTGGCAGCCAAATAAGGAAACACCTCGGAGTCTACGTCACCCCGCGGAGATGGAGCGGGGAAAGCGGGAATTAGAAGGATCGTTGTATCGTGGGACCGTGAGTAACGGCCACGGCTGGAGGACGACTTCATCCAGGAGGTTATGGCTGATGAGGATAATGATGAAGATAATGAGGATGATGATGAACCTGATGAGGATCATGATGATGAATAAGAGGAGGATCGTGATGATGATGGACACGACGATGATGAGGATCGTGAAGAGGATGATGCGTGTGCACGCAGGAGCTCACGGCGAGGTCCCCGGAGATGTTGGCCCCCGCCAGGATACCGGTTGCCGCCGGGAAGAAGATGGCAAACACCGAGAAGAAGGTTTCTCCGTTTTGGAAATCGGGTCCCATATTCTCCGAAAAAATTTTCGCTGCAAGGAAAAACGAACACACGAGCCTACGGTCAATGCGGGTGCGTGCAGTCACCGTCATCAACATACAACTCACGAGTACGCCTGCTATTCGCGCCCAACTTACACAGCGCAAGGCTTTCGTCACCGAGGCTGAAGAGTTCACAGGCGCGGTCTGCGGTCGATTCTCGGGGGGGGGTGGCGGGATGACGATTGCGACGTGCGTTTCTCCAACACGAGCAATTTGCGAGTCCCGCAAATTTGGAACGCACCACACAAAGCCCTGGTCTCTGTGTAGTAACGCCACAGGGGCTGTTACCGTCCAATGGGAAGAGAAGGTGGCGCCAAGCCTATGGACGCTGCCTCAGTGTAACGGTTGCCGTGCGCCGGACCTCCAATCCAGAGGGTCGCCAGTTCGATTCCATCTCCCGGCGATAGCAGTTCATACAATGGGGGCGAGTTTCTTAAATCTCCGCCACCACCTCTGTCCGTCCACCTGCACCACAATTAGTCAAATCGGGTAGGTTGCGTGTGGTGGTGGGGTAAAGTGTGGGTATGGCCCCCCCTTCTTGCAAGACGTCTGTCCAGCATCAAAGCGTAGGCCTAAAATACCCTCGAGATGTCCCCCTTTAGCGGAGGCCCTTTGGCCAAACGGTGGCATGGGCAAGCAATCGCAGGGCTCCACCTTTACCATTTGTGTGCCTATAACGGTTAAAGTTCAAGTTGATTTCGTGCAACCCGGGGGTGAGACCTCAAGAGGCTTGGACAAAAGTCTCATTTGCAAGAGTCACCCGGGGGGGGGGGGGGGGCACCAAAGTGACAAAAGCAAAACAAATATAAAATAAAGCACAGCAAGAGAAGCAAATAGAAATAGCGCAGGGCCGGTGGCGGTCCCTCCCGGCTACGGAACGCCCAAAAGGAGCGCCCCCCCCCCCCGCGCTCGTCGGCCCGGTCCCACGGCCACTGCCGGCCGCCACCGGGCGGCCGCTTGGGCCCCGCGACCCTCGGCACACACAATGGCCAGCGCTGTCGGAGAGCTCCAGAGGAGTCGTAAATCGGTTGCGAAAAACCGGTCGCCCAGGGCGGTCAACGACCCGTCGATTCCCCAAGAGAAGTGAGGTAAGGTAAAAAAAAAAACCCATCTCAGGCACCGCTGCTGCCTTCTGGGGCCATTGAGGCCTTACAAGAGTTGCTGCTACAGGGCTCCGCCTCCTATCTTCGTGCAACGCCACAAGGCCCTCAATTCACTTCCGGCTTACTACCACGAGAGAGCCAAATCTCAACGGATGTCAGAAGCCGAGCCGCATTGAGCATGGTTAGTGCGTTAATTGCAGACTGCCTGGGAACACCGGGTGTTGCAGTAGTGTGGGCCCCCAAGATGGATACAGCAATGGATCCTCTAATCCATATGTGGATGGGTAATGCTAGCATCTTTCTCAGGTCACTATGCATGAAAAGGCAGAAGTGGTTAACATCCAAGCATAGCGCAGCCTCTTTCGGAACGTGATGCAAGCAGCTTTAATTAAATGACATTGCTGCTGCTGTTGTTGTTTGGCTTCACGGTGGGAGGAAACTGGAAATACCCGGACAAAACCAACGACGCCATACGAAGGGCCGATTGCCCGAAACATCGCCGATCACACGATGGTGTTCTTACGGAGTTTTTTGTTGTTGCTGCTGCTGTGGCCACATCGCTCGTTTATTTTGCGGCGCAAAGAGGCGAGGGGGCATTTAAATTGAGAGCCGAGCTTTACCCGGTGGAAACGAGGCCATGGGGGAAGGCGGCTGGAGGGGGGGAAATCACCTGACATCTGTTTTACCAGTCGGGAAAAATAGAGCCGCCACCAACCAAGGTCCGCAATACTTTCCGACGAATTATAAAAAAAAAAAGTGGATCGTTTTACACCGGACTCCGAAACGCCCGCAATCATATCCAACGAATTTACGGGATTAAATTTTAATTTAAAAATAAGTTACACGTCTGTGGCAATGTATTGCTGAATGAAGGTCCCTCTCTTCTCCACAGTGTTGTCGGTCGTCGTAGTTGTTGTGAACATACTTCACCACTTTGGTCAACATGGGTTGTTGGAGGCGGGGGGGGGCACGTGCCGCAACCGGTTCAGATTTCACCCGTCCACCGACATTAGCCGTGGGCAGTGGGTATGCTTACCACTGCGCCACCGCTCCCCGTTAAATTATTTACGCTGCGTCGATAGCTTCCACCCCCCTCAGTTTTGAAACCATTCCAGACAAGCACGGCACCCATCTGTTCCACGCACTCGCCGTAACCTGTAAACATTTAAATTTTAATCTCCTGATCTCATCGGCACACGAATAGCTTCACTGTATAAACTAACGCCATTCATTCACTCGTTCATTGGGGCCGATCAGACCTCTATGTGCTATCGCCAAATGCCATTGCGAATTGCCGACGTAACACAATCACAGACACATTTCGAGCATCCGTGTGCTTCCTGAACAAAGAAGCCATCCCGTCGAGTGATATGCGTGCTTTGCACGAACAAAATTCTGTCTTTGAAAAGTCTTCCCAAATAAGGACGCAGACAACAACCAGGTGCGAATGATTCTCCTTACAAGTCTCTTGAAATAAATCAGCTCAAGACTTGTGTGTGGCCTCCCACATTCTGAATGCTTCCCCTCTCTCCGCCCGCAGTGAAAGTAGACACCGCTCCTCCGCACAGCTCACTTCTGGTCGCTCGTTTCGATCGCGCTCATTACACACAAAGTGCTTGCCACAAATGAGCCACAATACCTTTGCTGTTCTCGTCAGGGGGCATGGCCCATCACGAAAACTTCGGCCATCCTCGCAGCAGAGGCTTTTGGCTCACCATCGAACAACGACGGTCAACTGTATCGACCGCTTTCAGATGCGCCCTTCCTTCCGATATTAGGAAGCCACTGGAGCTATGCACTTTCAAATCGAGATTGAAAACTCATTTCTTTACAACTTCTTTTTGTGTTTAGTTTGTTGTCCTTCCCCCGAACCTGCAATTAGCACGGTTGGCTGCGTACGGTGCGAAAGAAGTTCAACATACATTCGTACATCTTGAGCTGTGCCCTCCTCTCTGTCTGTCTTAGGGGCTTCCATCCTGGCATCCCTTCCGAATTTCCTGATGATCCTACCCCCCACCTACCTGCCCGTGGATGGCAACGGACTCGACCACTCACCATTCCCATGGTGTGCCACGGGTAAACACAGTTTTATGCAGTGCGACTGACACAATTAAGCATCGCAAACGAATCCAAGAATAGCGACATTGTACAATGCGGAGAGAATGTCGCACGTCTCTTGGCTGTGGGATCATATGAGCCATCGATAATTCAAAACGTAATTATCTGCAGCCTGGGGTGCCATTCAAAATTGAACTTTGTTACTTTCAAAGTCAAGCTTCCTGGTCTTATTCATTTGCCTTTTAAAAACCAAAGCCACTGCAAAATGTACCAGTTGGTCAACATAGTTGAAAAACGCGCGACAGTTAACGCAGGAGTCATAGTAGAGGCATGGCCGTAGACAGGAAGAGAGGATCCCCGAGAAACCTGGAGAGATTACGGAACAGACCCGGGTGGCACTCGGCTGCTGACTTTTACACCGAACGTCACAAATCAAGAAGATAGGTGTGATCCAAATAAACTGAAACTTCACTTTCCCACGTGGATATTCAGTGAAACCCTAATACAGGTGAAGGCCTTCCCTACCCACACCATGTTGGTCACTGGTGGCCGTTTGACCATTATGTCACCATTCTGGCCAATGCGGCAGGACCGGCTCAAACGTAGCCGTGGCCGAAATCGAACTCAGCCGGCCAGGGTTTCACAGCGCAGCGCGCCAATCGCTGTTCCACCGCTTCCCCTTCACAAACCCGTACACAATTCGTAACCATGTCAGATCCTACGCCCAACGTTTGGACGCGTGCACGGCCAGAGTCGATTTTTAAATCGACGAGTTGACCTACGTGCGTCGCTACGTCGCTGGTGGTAAATGCGACGACCTCTCGACGCTCACCTTGGTAGCCAAAATATCCTCTGCTCTTCTTTTCCTCAGTCGGGGGGATGAAGGTGCCAATGAGGAAGTTGGCGATGGCCAGCAGCAGGATGACCAGGAGGACGATCTGAGCCTGCGGTGACAAGCGGTCACGCGCACGCGTGTGCGGATTAGCGCCCGGCATTACCGCGCGATCGTCGTTCGGCGCGCGTCGTACCGGCGTGACGCCAACTCGGTTCGTGGAGAAGCCGTTCCCGGCACGTGGGGCGAAACGTCGGGCATCGTGGCGAGACAACGTGCGGCGGCGCCACCTGAAAAAAACGCGTCGGAGGAGCGGTCGCCAAGGCGAGCGTCCCCGCCCGCGATTGGGTCATGGCGGTCGGCTCGTGACCGGTCACGCTTCCTGGCCGGCACCACGGGCGTCGCGCCCCGCTCCAGGGTTGTTGTTGAGGCATCACCCACGAGGCTTCACGCAGGTGATGAAATCACGAAGCGAGAGCCTCAATGAGCGCCATTCACAGAGACCGCCCCCTGCACCCCCACCCCCACAGCAGCGATGAAGAAACCTTCCATCACGCGGCATCCATTACTTCGATATGAGGGCCTCCCCAGGGGTTGTTTGACCAGATTTAGCTCACCGCACTCGTCAGTGCGGGTTAGTGAAGGCGACGAGCATAGAAGCGTAGTAGAAGAATGGGCTATGCTGTCCTGCGTCCTCTGAAGTCTAGAGCCTATATAGACACCTGTCATGTGTGGAGATTTCCCATCCAAGCACCATCCAGGCTCATGCCTGCTTAGCGTCGGAGCTCTGATGAGTGAGGGGGGATTCGGGGCAATTTGGTCAAAGGCTCATTTTTTTCTCATGAAAATATTTAGGCTTTATTACGGAATAAAATTGCTACCCCTTGATCGCTGGGTTTGTAATCAGCTATGGTCAATCCACCGTTGGATGAAGACCTCTGCCGAGACTGCCGCACTGAGTTTCCAGCTGCACTATCATCGCGGGGGAGGGGGGGGGGGAGATGCCCATACTTCACCAAGCTGGCCAGAAAATTTGGTCACAACATCACAAACCAGGACCCCCCCCCACATCTTCTTACAAAACGAGTCTTGGACACAGCGAGGACCATCCTGGCCAAACAGATTAAAATAGCCAACAAATAAGTCAAAACATTTCCACCGATTAAAAAAAAATGGTTACCTTGGCCTCCCATTCCATGCCGGCCACCGATATTCCTAAGAGCAAGATGATGGTGATGATGCCGATGATGCGGATGTCGTTCGTCTCGTCGATCATCAGCGCGTTGTTTTCCTGCAAAACAATTCGGGAAGAAAGCCACAGGTGCGGCGGCGGCGGATTGTTACCCGTTTCGTTCCAAACAGAGGAGAGAAAGTTTTGGTAAATTCACGCACGCCACATTGGATCATGCACCACGTTCGTCTTCGGAGTATTTTAATTAGCGGCGCAATGGTGAGCCCGACGGCGGGTGGCTGTCGGGGCAAAAACTCGATTTCGTATTTAAAAATAGGCCCCCGCGTCGGTTTTGTGTTTTCAAACGTCAGTCAATGCCGGTCAGGTGCGCATTGGGTAAGTGAAGGCGGGGGAGCATAGGCACAAGAGACTAGAAGTACAGCACAACCATAACCTTTTGGAGGCGTCGACCGTTGCGAGTGACCGGCTCTCAGGTGAAGGACACGGTGACCCTTTATTCGTCAAGTTTTGGGCAACCCTACGCTCAAGTTGGCCGGATTTCAAGCACGCAACTCCCAAGAGAAACACAGCGATACGCTAACGTTTGCTTTCACGGCGATAGTTACCGTTACCGCCACGTTACATACCTATGGATGACAGCGCTAATAATGCGTAAACGCTTTCATCCTTCATTGGGGAGCGTTCAATAGAAAAATGTCATTCCCCCGAACCTCAATTCCATTTTTTTTCCCTGAGTCCCTTACGCGACAGCTGAACATGCCCTCGGGACAGGGTTCCGGCTGCAGCGCTACAACGCATCCCCGGGCATAATGCGGCGCAATTTTACACCTCCGAATTACGCCGCGTGGCGCTCCGATCACGTCGCGCAGCTGCCGTTTTGTGCAATCAATCTTCGGCGCGCCGACTGATAAAAGCCACGCCGCTGCTGGTTAGTTTGTCGCTCCTCCCCCGCACCGCCGATTAGCACGGTTGGCTACGCGCTGTGCGAAAGAATTTCAACATACATATGTACATCTTGAGCCGCGCCCTCATTTGTCCGTCTTGGGGACTTCCGCCCCAGCATCCCTTCCCTCTTTCCTGCTGATCCTACCCCCACGCCTATCAGCCCCTGAACGGCAACGGACTCACCCTTCCCGTGGTGTGCCACGGATAAACAAAGTTTAATGCAATGCGATTGACACAAGTTCAACATACATTCGTACTGTACACACATACATACGTAAAGGGGGCAATTTGGGGAGAGAGGAGCCGCCTGACGTCGTCAGAACCGTTCCTGCCCCCCTCCCGCCTTCACCGACCCCCACACGGAGCGGCGCGTTGAAGCACCCGGCGCCTCCGTACACAGGAGGTCGTGAGTTCGATCCCGACCCTGACGACTGCTGTATATTTGGAGTTTGCATGGTCTGCCTGTTGTCGCGTGGATTTCTCTCCGGGCCCTCCGATTTTTCCCTCCACATTTAGAATCAACAACATGCGTTTAGGGTATTTGGTTGCTACTATAAATTGATAAGCCACTTCGTTGAGCTGTCATTTGTGGCCAGGTCGCTTTTGAAAACGAGGTATATAGCTCAGTGGGCCTTACCTGGTAAAATAAAACTTAAAAAAATGTATCCATCAGTTGATAAGAGAATTGCACGGAATTGATTTACACTGTTACCTGCTTTGACGTATGGATCAAAACAATGGGACGTTGACAAAGAAACAAAGAAATTGGGACAAGAGCTGAAAAGCATTGAGAGATGCCCGCTTGGAATTACACCGAGACACAACGACGTGGAGCACATGGATTGATTTTTTTTTTAAACCAGCGTAGCATAAAGACATCGTTTTGACTGTTAAGAAAAGTAAGGAGGTGCTTGGGGCAAGACACGGCACGACCAGAAGGGACGACGGCCGATGGTCAAGACTAACGACGGAGTTGCAGCCAAGGGAGGGAAACGCGGATTAGATGAGCCAGGTGGAGGGGGGGGGGGCAGGGACCTTCATCCAGTAGCGGATAGCTCGCGTTGTTGATGTTGCTCCGTGGGACGACAGACTTGTCGCGAGGGCAGCAGTCGCGGCGCGAACATAGGGAAGGAGCCGATTGCGATCGAAGCAAAGAGCGCTGCGAGCAAAGGATTGGATTTTCCAGTGAAGGCGTGACCGCATGCTCATTTACCCCCCAACACACTTGCCACAGCAATTCGATTACAGGGATATTTACGATCGTTTGATTGAAGAGATATTCTCAATTTGCACTGCGGCCAGCACTCCAATGCGAGGCCATCTGCCGAAACTCCTCATTCGAGGCCTCGGCACCACCGGGTGTTTTTTTAGGGTTTCATTTGCGCTTCCTTGCCAACGCTGAAAGCCTAAATGCATCGACTCTGTCCGTGCGTCCGTCCGGAGATGATCCAACACAAATTACATTTCAGTATAATTGTTGAGCCGTTAAAACTACTCAAACTAATGAGCTCTTTTTTTCACAAGTAACCTGACCACAAATGATAACACGACAAAGCGGCTTATCATGTGGAAATTCATAGCAGCCAAGTACGCGACGTACAAACGTGAGAAAAATGTAATCAAAAGCGTCTCCGTTTACAAAACTACCGAGTGAAAACAAAAACCTGGCGAGAATCCGAAGGTGCGCGCGATTTCACTTCCTTGTTTTTCTCAATCTGAATGCGATTTGGAAATTTGGCGGCGGCGGCGGCGACGGGGAGCAGGTGGGGGAACTCACCTTGAGGATGTCTCGCAGCGTCTCAGCAAAGCCCACCACGTACATCGCCACGGCGACCGCATTGGCAAACGCGAAGATGAGGCCGATGGAGCCGCCAAACTCGGGACCCAGGCTCCGCGAGATCAGGTAGTACGCACCACCTGCACATAGGTGTCACATCACGCACGGGAGGGGGGGGGGGGGTCGCCATGGCAGGGGTCACGTGGGGGTCACGCAAGGGATCAGCACAGCAAGGGTCAAACAGAGGTCATCACAGGAGGAATCACGTGGAGGTCAGCACAGCAGGGGGTCACATGGGGGTCACGATAGGGGATCAGCGGAGGGGGTTTACGTGGAGGGGTCGAGCGGGGGTCATGGCAGTCGTCAAGTGGGAGTTACACGTGGGGTCAGCACGGCAGGGGTAACGTCGGTGTCGCACAACGGGGTCAGCACGGCAGGGGTCAAACAGAGGTCGTGGCAGGAGGGGTCACGTGGAGGTCACATGGGGGTCAGTACAGGGGTCACTGTGAGAGTCGCTCAGGGGTCAGGCAGTGTTGATGTGAAGGCATTCGGCATGCCTCGAATAATTGAATAATGCAGAGGAGCAGCCCTTCAAATGCTTGCTCATTGCCACTGCTGGTAGAAGAGCCTCTTGTAGAAAGCGCTCCAGAGAGCCCCTCTGGAGCATATGTTGGCCTGCTCTTCCACGCCAGCCAGACATCTTTCCGATGGTCATCAAACAATAAATCGTAAGTTTTTAGTTCTGGGGAGGAGGAGGACAAACCTTCTGGAATGGAAAGAGCCTCACCATCGAACAAAACGAAAATTATTTATCTAAATATCTATTTACATCATTCCTGATTGACCTGTGCGGGAAGTAGCTGCTCCGTGAATATCGGCATGCGATCTACGCTAACCTGGGCACTCTGGGCACAACGCAGGGCGGAGCGGCCTCCGCGTTTCCCAGAGGCTTCGCCCTGCAAGCGCGCAAGCTTTCCGCGGCTGTGCTTACACAGCACTCCGACGTCCTTTCACGTTGCACCGCGTGTTGTTGTTGTTGTTCGGTACGATGCCCAACAAAAAAGCGAAATATTCCTCAAGAAGCTCCCGGGCACATGGAGAGAAACTTGGGACATCACGGCGAACAACACGCGGCGCAACCCGAGAACGCGTCTCGAGAGGATGGCTGTGACGCCAAGAGAAACCTCCGCCCACACCCCCGCAGGTCAAAGGTCGTGCGTGGAATCTCACCCCCCCTCCGCGACATGACCCACGTGAACCCATGTGACCCCACACCCGTGAACACACGTGCCCGGCAGTGGCTGTCAGCACCTGCAGCACAAATGCGCGGGAAGCACATCAATTATGCACGTGCAAAGGAGGGAGAGAGCGTGTCGTCGATCCGTTGTCCAATTATCTCGACGTCTGTCCACACGCTAATCGCTTTGCGTGCGACCTCGGCGGGAGCAGCTCAGGGCAGGTCACAGCACAGACCACGTGCGCAGGCCAAATTCAACGGACCCATTGCCCGATCGCTCATTTGTTTCTACGGCAACCGAACCATGCAGTTGGAAAAACTTTCTTTCAGCAGACAATTTTTTTTTTGCACAGCTGCGCCATGAGGGCAAAGGTTGGTCGAGTCATCTTGCAACGGCTCGTGCTGCCAAAAAAATTCAAATGGACTCCCTGTGCTGCGCAGCGATGAGGTCTCAACAAACCGCAGCGCCGGTGACATGGATGGTGAATGTTTCGGCAATGGCCGTAAATGTGGACTTCTACCTTTTTGCGCATGTCCCTATTGCTTAGAGTACGATACATTTCCACCTAACACTGTGGAATGATACAGCTAAACCCATGATTCCAGGGCCCCTTCAGCTGCAAGGGATCCTACCCTTTGGCTTTGTTTGCTCATGCCTAACACTGCCTAAACTATTACTAAATTAAAAACTAAACTATTTTATATTTTACCAGGTAAGGCTCACTGAGCTATAAAGCTCTCTTTAAAAAGTGACCTAGCCACAAATGACAGCTCAACGAAGTGGCTTCTCATGTGGAAATGTATAGCAGCCAAATACTCTGAACGCACATTTCTATTAAAGCCATCGGCAAAGTTTACATCGCCCATCTTGACCGACCGTAGTCTTCGTCTAGGCCAAGAGAATTTTTATTTATTCACACTCGGGTAACCCCCCCCCCATCGCCACGGGCCGCAGACATCTTCTGGAGAAACGGCGTTTCGCGAGCAAACAACAGAAAAAACAGAACTTATTTGTTCGTGGCCAGGCTGAGGTTTGGCGCGGCTGTGCGCCAAATCCCCCGGAGAGCCGCTCTCGTATTAAGCTTCATTAGAGTGTTGCTGCGATATTTTGGGTCCAAAAGCAAAAATGCAGCGACGAGCAAAAAGCACGCGTCGTTGACCATAAGTCATGGGCAAAGCTGGCAGCGGTGACCCTGGGCTAAGGCCCCTTTAATTATTGTTGGCCAAGTCAGTCGTTCATTTCATGTATTAGTGTTATTGTTCTGCCTTAATCCAAAACGACACGAACAACTCAACTCTGGCAGTGAATATAATAATAATAAAAAGTCTGGAATTTTTACAAGAATTACTTCTAAGCCAATTTTCATTTTTAGCGTATTTGTTTACCGCTGTACTTATTCATATCCAGATCTCCCCTTGAAAGCGAGATGTCTGGTCTCAATTTTTGTCTCATCCAATTGTAAAAGGGTCTCTGTAAATCCGTATTGATATTCTTACCTAGTTAAATAAATGTATGCGTCAGGAGTTGAATGAGTCGTTGATTTTATGAACTGCAATTAAATTCAACTGCAGTCAAATTTCACGCCGCCTCCTTAACACATTTATTTTCTCCTACCAACCCATCCACGGTTTGGTCAGGTTTAGGTTTTTTGTACGTAAAGGGCTGCGAACACATGCGAATAAGCGCCGTGTAAAAAAATATCTAAGTAAAAAAAATCGGCGTTACTTGGAGAGTTAGCCACCTGCCGATTTGTGTAAGAAATGAGAACTCGAGCCAAACCGAGCAGCGAGGCCAGGCACGCGGCCGGCATTTGAAGACGACGCTGGGGCACGCGGACGTCACGAGCCGCGCGAGCCGCGCGCTTCCGTGTGTTCTGCCCGTCGCGAGCATCCGGCGTGAACCCTGACCAAATGGATTAAATATTATCTCTCCAGCGTTGTTTTAGAGGGCAAAGGTGGACGATAGTTAATGATTTTCATACTTTAACTGGGACTGCTTCTTCCCAGCGAGCAATAAAGCGATGATGGGGGTGGGGGGGGGCTCTGAACGAGTCACTCCTCCCATGAACGATCCACCCCTGCACATTTCCCACAGGAAACGGTATGCGTCAAGAGTGACACCTCTCCCACCCCCCCGCCCCCCCTTATCTCTCAACTCCCCACCCTCTCCCCTCTCCGTTTGCTCTACTCCACGCGCACTCACCTACCCTCTACAATCTTACTCTACTCCACCCAACATACTCGCCTATCCACTTGCATTCTATCTACTGTACTTTTACATCTACATTGAAAACTCATTTCTTTAAAACTGATTTTTGTGTTTGGTTTGCTGTGCATCCCCTGCACCTCCGATTAGCACGGTTGGCTACGTACGGTGCAAAATAAGTTCAACATACACACACTCCTCTTCATGCACTCTCCCACCTCGGCTCCCCTCATCTCTCTCTCCTCTCCCCCAGGCACTCTCCTCTCCAGTACCGGAGGCCTTCTGACGAAGTCCCCCAGTCAAGTCAGCATTCTCTCTTCTCTCAGTTCGGGGGTCGCTCATTCTCTTCAGCTGCCCCCAGTCTGAAATTCCCTTCCCACAGCCCTCTGTGCTGTGGGCTCCCCGTCCGCCTGTTTGTTTATTTATTTATTGCCGATTGAGCCTACGACAGGCCGCCTCGTTCTCGCTCTCTCACCCTCTCTACAGATTAAACGTGCCCCGCACCAGCCTCCACACGGCGTCTCGACGTCACGCCCGCGGAGTCATCACTGCCCGAATCCCAACCCGCTGCGCGGACGCTTTGGTGGTGCAGGGAACGAGCGACGCCGGAGACGTGGTCGCAGCGCGAGACACGCCGAGCAAACCCAACCCCTACGCCGTCAACTCTGTCCGGCGGCGACAGTCGAGACGCTCGCCGGCTGAGCCGCCGCAGCGGTGGCCGATTCGCTCAAAACACGGAAGGAGCCCAGGAGGGGATCCACCGAAACCACAGTCCCCACTCCAAACCGATTCTTGTTTTCTGTTCGTTGTTTGTGCCTCCTCCAACCACCCCACCACCTGCATCTGATTGCTAGGAATTTGCCACCCAGCCAACCCAGACCCCCCCCTCATCATCCCAACCCAAACCCCCCCCCCCCAAAAAACATGTAAAACCTACTCACGACACAGAGAAGCACAGAGAAGAAAACACTGAAAACAACAAATGACAATGTTCACACGACACCCGCAGAATCTCATGCAGGCGATCTCATTGGGTGGAACACTTTGGCTGCCGACAGCCGACCGTGCAGTGCAGCCTCGTCCAGGGGAGTCTGGTGAACGGGCGTCGCGGCGCACGGCCCCGTTACTCACGAGGAATACAAAGGGGCCATGGAATCAAATTCACTCAAAAAAATTAAGAATACGTCGCTAATGAAATTTCCAATTTGGCGTGCAAACTATTTGGATAGACCAAGGGACCAAGTCTGATCATTTAGGGTGGTCCAAAGGAAGGGAGGGAGCAACGGAGGTGTATGTAGTTTACAATATTTTTAATGACTCGGTAAGTATTGTTATTAATTCCTTTCTTTCCCAATTTTAATGTTTTCCCTGGTGCGGCCCAGCACCCACCGGCCTCTGACAACGGGCCGTCGAAACCGATGACGCGTTCCGAACAATCCGTTTGAGACACTGAGTGGCTTCGTGTCGTAATGTTACGGCGCGCGGCAGAGCACGGCTGACTGTCGGCGGGAGAAAGCGTCACGATGGGTGCCGGGGGAAGGACCGACCTCGTTTACCGGAGGAGTGCAGGTGTGGCGGAGCGCGCGGAAGGGCCACGGGACTGTGGCGGGGCCCGCCCTGAGCGTGTGTAGCCGTGGCCCGAGCGAGCGAGCGGTCATGCTTACCTCCTCGTATGTTCCCGTTGGTGCAGATGGCCGACATGGAGATGGACGTCAGGGTCGTCACCACCGTGCTCATCATGATGATGACCATGGCGAGACCTGAAACAGCGCCCCTCTCACTGCTTTACGGGGCCTCGCCTAGCTCACCCACCTCACCCACCTCACCTACCTCACGCCCAGCGGCTGGCGGTGGTGCCATCGCCCCCGCGCCAACCACAGCCGTCGACGCTACTTCCTGCAAATGGTGCTTACTTCGCCGCTTGCCTCTCCGGACCTGGAACAGCGAGGCCTCGGCCTTCTTCCGGAACCCTTACCGCGCTGGTCCTCTGCGTAAGCGAGCAGGCGGACGCCTACGCTGCACGGTTAACGGGTCACGCAGTGCTCCCCTGTAAGAGCATGCCGGGCGACGCGGACGCCACGTCTCGCCATCGCCACCGGCGAGAACACCTGCCGACGTGGTGACGCGACGAGAGAGAGAGAGAGAGAGAGGGAGAGCCAAGCCACGCGGTTTACGATCGCCGCCAGTCCTGAACGGCAGCCGTGGTGGTCTTCGTCGTCGCTACTCGCGGAGCAAGACAGCGGAGGGAGAGGGACGGTTTTACCCACCTGGCGTCACCGATGTGATTCCGGAGGCCAAACCGGCACCACGGCGTCTTTCGAGGAAATCAGCACGCTCACACGCACGCACGCACGCACGCTCACACACGCGCATGCACGCACGCACACGACGGCACCGGTTTTGTTCGATCGGCGTCTCTGATTCGGCACGGCGGAAAGTGGAGGGATCCACTCGGCAACAATGGAAGGGACAAAACGAGACAAAGAGACAAGACAAGCGGCGAGACGGAATCAGAGAGGATCGCCCAAAACGCTCTCGCACACCGACGGGGTTGGTAAGGGGGGGGGGGGGATGGTGGACGACAGGAAACACAGCGGCCAACGCCGGCTCGTTACCTCCTCGCACAAATCCGTTGGTCGTAATGGCGGAGGTGGACAACCCTGTGATTGTGGTTACCAGGGTAGCCAGCAGAATTATGGTGGCGGCAAGGCCTGCGGAAGGAAGGCCAGCATCAAGCACTGCCGTACGGCACACGTTACACCACGCGCACACACGCACACACGCACGCACCTGCAAGCACCTGCAAGCACGCGCACGCAGGCAGCAAAGCGATGAGAGTTGCGGCAGCGGTTTCATCACAAAGTCGAGACGTTACGCTTTTGAATTATACGCGCACATCAAATTTAAGGCAAGATTTTCAAGGTTTCTTAACAAGGCTATGCAATGTACTTTCATAATATTCAATCACCTTTTTTTTTACATTTCAGATTTCAGTAATACACAACAATAGTGGCAACCAGGCATTGTGTCTATACCGGTGGTTCGTAACCACGGGCCACTCATCGGTGGGCCCCGCAAGGCCTTGGGGGAAAGTGGCTCACGGGGAATTATTGCATGAACTATTTATTTAGCATCTACACAAACTTTTTGCTGCCCGGCGGTCCTCGAAAAAGTTTTGGGGGTTGCTTGGGAGACCACTGGTCCCCGCATCAAAGTCAGAGCCAGCCGACAAGATAAAACGCACTTGGAACACACTTAAAATCGTACTTGTAATTAACACTGCCCATCGCTAAAACCAGGTAATGACATACGCTCCGAATGGTACACGGTAGGCGTGGCACCTGTACCACTGTCGGGTTCCTTGCCGTCCCCTCCGGCCACTTCCTGCAATTGTCGCCGAAACCCCCTCAACTACCATGATGGACAGCGTGACACGTGCGTACTTACCACCAAACCTCGACAAACTCTCCCCACCCCACCCCCTCTCAGGGTTCGCCAGATGCAGGGTGTCAAGAAAAAGGTACCATCTGTTATTATGAAGAGCTACTCTTACTTAGGACGGCAGTGTGCAACGTCTTTCTCGATTCGCGATTGCTCATGTCACCATTAAAACTTAAAATATTGAGCAAACTCGCACGTGTACCTACGTTTTTCTGCCGCCTCATCATGTAATATTTGCACACGTTTTTTGTTCATAATTTGCGAGCGTTTCGTTTACGACCGTTAAACACCTCATTTGTTAGCCGTGCAAATATTCCTCGAGGACCCTGCACTCGCTCTATGCAATATCGATGTCTCCGTCTTTTTTGTTGTCGACGCTGTGCTCACGCAGCACCACCGGTCCCGCCCTCGTAAATTGGCCGGGCCGATCGCTAAAAAAACACGGGACCGTCCGTTTAACAAACCAACTCAACCCCGGCCGATACGATGTCCGTGACCGGTGTTAACCGTGGCCGGGAATCAAATTCGAATCGCCGGGTTCATGGCCGAGCACGCTAACCGCTGTGCCACCGTTCTACCGGTTGTTAAATGAGAACCGTAAAATAAGACAACACCTTTGTTGACACGCTGTAATAAGGCAGCGGTGTTTCGCGAAGCAGGCGGCAATGCTCTTTTGATGACATTTGTTGACATTCTACAGTTGCTGGTAAGAAAACTAAAACAGAAAAAAAGTGTAGATGTTTTGTATGTTAATTTTATATATATGTACGATCTCGGCCTGGGCCCAGGGCCAAGGTTATCAGCCAATAGCCGAGGTCATGTTACTGAGGCCGGGAAAATGATCTGAGATGGGGCACACTCGCAGGGGAAGAGAACGTCCCCCACACACGTGGCCATTGTTTAAACCCCAGCAATCTTCCTCCACGTGACCGCAACTCGAAACAATGAGTGACATTTGCGCGAGCTTATATATATAACAGAAATAACAGCGAGTAGCAAGAGGACCTCATTGGGATTCGGCAGCTCCACCGCCGCCGTGCACCTATCCGTTGTACGATTTTCCAACGGGGCTCGTGGAACGTGCGGGGGGGATATCGGAAACGGGTAGAACAAGTAAGCAGCACCGGAGGGGGGGGGGGGAGGGGAGATTAAGCAAATTACCGGTGAAAAGAATCTCACAGACACAACTTCATTATTTCCTTCTAAACTCGACTTAAAGCTTTCGTGACTGCAGGAATACATATTCTATGGATCGCAACACAAGCAATCGAAGATGATTGCTTGTGTCGAAGACGATTGCTTGTATACTCTTTGGTTCTTTCGGTAAAGTCACGTAGGTATAAAATAAATTAAATCACGACGTTTCGGGCGCAACACAAGTGCCCGTCATCAGGTGGAAACAACCACAGCAAGAAACAAATTGCTGAAGTGTATTTTATACCTACGTGACTTTACCGAAAGAACCAAAGAGTATGGATCCCTGCAGTCACGAAAACGTCAAATCACGATGGCTTGTGTTGCAATCGAAACGTCGTGATATTATTATCATCGTTTTAAACTGCTTCATGATGCGATGGCACTTTGGGGGGCAGATTTGTGCCACAAAGGGCTCCACGTGTTAACCAAAAATACACCAACTCGACAAAACATCACAACAATTTAGACCCCATTTGCTTCTCTAGCGTGAGAGTTCACGTGACAACCTCGTCCATTGAAAATGTCGGCGTGGTCGAGGAGCAGTCCTCCAGACCACCTTGCAGACAGCTACCTGCATCGACGACAGATAATAATTCACAGCCGTTTGTGAAGCCACTGCTGGATGAATGCCTCCCCCCCCCCCCCCCGTCGGTCGCGTCGCTTGAACACACTTCACGCTCTGGTAAGTGCGGATTTTAAGAAGGGATTGGGGGTGGGGGTAAGTGGGAGGGGGTTCAGAACCAGTTCAGGTATCGCTTGCCGTTGATGCGAGCCATTGCCAGGAATTGAACTCTGTTCGTCGGGTTTGTATTACGGTGCACCAACCACAATGTCGCCACTCCCCACGCACACACCAACATGTCGCTTGCAAATAACAACTCCAATTCTCCAAACACTCTCCTGCATCGCCATCTCCTCGTCTCTCGAACCCGGAGCCTTGCCAATGCTAAATCACGTGCTCATTCGCAGGCCGGCATCTGCAGCTCCGAGCGAGATGCAGGCTCAACATCGCTTGGCTCATGGGAGAAGAGAAAAAGGGAAAAAGGGGAAGAAAAAAAAATCGGGTGGATTATCGGGCGCATTCCGGCTGATTTGGTCACAGCCAGAACGATCGTAGAGTGCAACAACAACAAAAAAAACGCAACCCAATTTTGGAGGCAGCAAAAATGCAGGCAGAAGCAGTTCGTGGGTCCCGATTAACGGGAGCACACGGCGACGATCGCTGGCGGTGCCCCGCGAATGACGATCGCGGTGTTTGTTACGAGCGGGAGCCAACACTCTCGAAGAGCTCTGCAATCCGTGCGTGCCAAGTGCGGCCGTGTTGTGGCTCCAGCTCTTAATTATTTTGCCGAGTGGTCGCTGCGCCGGCGCCAAATTTCTCGCCCGTTCGGGGAATAGTTTTAGCGTCGTGTTTTTTTTTTGTGAGGGACGGCAGGCGGACCGGGAGTGGCCACCAGCCGGCGGTGGGGCGGGCAGAATCATCATCACACGAGTGCATCTGCTCGTTAAAAACAATTGGACGTCTGCGAACCGCCGGCAAAAACAGGCTCTCGTTGCGATTCAGGCCTGCCAATCATGTCATCAGCATGTTGCTCTTTGTTTAATGTTCACAGCCTTGTTGGCATTGTTTATCATTTTCTGAGTAAATTTGTCCGACCTCACGCGAGCACCAACGCAACACCGCCGTATCATTTGCGCGCGACATCCACAAATCGCACATCCTTCAGACGAGCGAGTCAACGCGTGCATTGCGAGCCGTAATCGATTGACGTCAAATCCGCGAGCCGATGGCGTCGTGGCACCCCTAAAAATATCGCGCAAGATAAAACGTGAAAAAGGACAGCACGATGGAGTCCCTTGCTCCGTTCGGCTCTATCCCGGCTCCGACCTTGACATTTTTCGGGACAAAAAAAACGCAACGACTTCCGGCCACAGCGGGCGCTGGAAACGGATGGACAGGAAAAGGGGGCTCGCTAATAATAGCTAACCACGGGGGCTGAAACCTTCAGGTGCACGGCCGACAGATATCGCTCGCTGGTTTAGCAGGCAGGGGGGTGGGGGGATGAAAATGATATCTCTGCGTTTGCGCAGAGCGCGGGTCCTGAGGCCAAGAGAATTGGAGGGGGGGGGGCTACAGTTTCACCGCCGGCACAAAAAAACTTGCACGCAACCCGATACCTTAGCGGCAAAACAGCCCCTCGCACGATCGTGCCGTGCACATCGCGTGCATATTGAGCCGAGCGGTCTCCTAGCAACCGCAAGCTCCGCTCCCGACGAGATGCTGCCGCCCCGCCATCGGCCACTGTACGTATGCCAATCCCATAGTCATTAATGATTGAGTGCTCGCCATCGATGACACACGCGACGATGACAGGCACACGACGTTCGCTCTCTATTTCAAATCCCGCCGTCATTGTCGTTGCCCGTGAACTATCTGCCGCAGGATGACGGATTCCCCCCGCGAAGCCGTCTCGCGATGCGCCGACGGAGCTGTTCTAGCCGCTCCATCTCGAATTTAAATCGTGGTTTAATTGTCAAATCCGGCATTGAAGGCTCACAAAACACCATAACACGCAGGGCGCCGTCATAATCTGTTAGATTCTCACCGCGGCTCCAGATGGCTCCGTTATCGAGAGGGTGCTAGAGGGCGGCACGGGAGGGGAGGCTGGTTCGTGCCGCACGTGAAGGCGGACACAGCCACGCCATGCAAGCTGGGGGAGTCCGACTCGCGAGCGGTTCCTCGCTTACATTACAAACGGGATCCGTGAGATTCACACCCCACTTTCTCAGGGAGTGCCCTTACCGCACCGTAATTATATTAATTACAACTACGCATCTCCTGGTCAACAACCCTGAAGAGAGACGCCGCTCGTGCGCTGCTGCCTACTGCAAGGTCACCCCGTCGGCGTAAAATCGCCTCTCGTTTAAAGGAAGGTCAGAAAAAAACCAGCAGATTTAAAAAAAAAAAACGATAATTCGCATACAAAATAGTCACGGCCGTCTCAGAAGTACGCGAGGGGCCGCGCAAGGCCTCAGCGACAACTCCACCGCTTCCCGTTAAACGCCTCGCGCG